CCTTAAAAATCCTAAAATATCCTAAAAACTCTAAAAAAACCCCTAAGAAAACCACAAAAAAATCCTAAATAAACCCTAAATAAACACTAAAAACCTTTAAAACCGTAAAAATCCCTAAATAAACCCTAAAAAACCTTAAATAAACCTAGAAACCCCTTAAAACCCCCAAAAACCCCTAAAACCCTAAAAAAGCCCTAAAAACACTAAGAAAACCCTAAAAAAAAACCCCTAAAAATCCAAAAAACCCTAAATAAACCCTTAAAACCCTAAAAAAAATGCTAAAAACTCAAAAAAAAAAACCCTAAATAAACCCTAAAAACACTAAATAAACCCTAAGACAATGTGCTAATCAAACATGCTACAACCTACCAATAATTAAAAAATGAGAAATTTACAATAGTGAATGAAAATAATTTTTTATCTGTATTGGGTTTCTATCAGTTTTTTACGATAATGTAACACATCCTCGATACTGGACATCGAGATAATCACGATGGAACAGTCGATGATCGAGGTTAACATCGGAAACTTATAAAGACGGAGGTTGAGGAATACACGATATTCCTCGATGACATTGACGATGCCACTAAAGAACTTTGACAGCAGACATTTTCTTTCTAGGTCTTCTTTGGCTTTACTTTTTCGTTTTTATACAAACAATATTTCTTTTGCGTGATAATCAATCAAAAGCAATTACTTACTTCAGATAAATTAGACACGTTTCCCTGTACCGATTACTAAATCAATAATGAGGAAATGAAATTACATAATAATAAATGAAGATTTTAAACAAGTCAAGCCACACAAACACAAGAAGCTAGTATTAACAAAGAATAGAGTTTAGACTCTCTGGCTCACAAATTTTACTATACGATTAAAAACAAAAGGTTACAATATTAACACATCTATTATAGATTATTGATTCTAATAAAGATTACCTTTTTCAGCTCCAAAGCAAAACTAAAATGAACAAATCCAAATGTATAATGAGATAATAACACATTCTTGATAATAAATAAAGAAGACAAGCCCACAAAGAAAAATAATAGAACACAACAAGATAGCATGAGCAAGGACAAGAGTTCAAACACTCTGATCTTCAGAGAATTTCAGTCTCATAATTAGAACTTCACTTTTTCTTAAATAAGCGAAAGTGGTAAATGAGAGACTAATTAAATCTTAATTATAAAGAACATAGTTATATTTTTCAAGTTGATTACAAAGGAAACTTACTCAAGACTTCTTCAAAGGGCAAAGAGTTCCAGTCTACTTCGTTATGTTCTGTCAAAGAAATTTGCATTTAGCCATTAATATATTATGCTAATGTAAGACATAAAGACAAGTAATTACATAGATTCCAAAGAAAATTAATCAGAATTCTGTTACTTTATAATATGAATCACAAAACTGTTGTAGAATATGAGATTTCTAGAATATAAATTACCACATTAATTATATATTTCAGTATGCAATAGTTGTAGCACTCGTATCTGAATTAGATAAAAACATGCTAGACAGTTTAAAATTTTTTGCTCAAGACTAACCTTGGATGTACTTCTGGCATTCGAAAACCGACTTCAAATCCAAGAATAATTGTTCTCCGGACAGATTAAAACAGAATCGAACTTCTTCTACGGTTTGAAGACATTGAAAATTCTGAAACGTTAAAAGGTGTCTCGGACATTCAGGAAATTCAAAGAGTTTAAGGTTTATTTGTTAGTTTTCGAAACTTTTTCTCTGCATGTATGTATAACAAAAATTATTATAAAACTTTTGAGTACTCAATAAAATATATTAATTTATACAATAATAAATTAATCATATTAATTTATAAGGATAGATACTTAACAAACGATTAGGCGGATAACTTTAGGTCTTTAACCACGAGTCGTCCAAGCTTCAAGCTTTCTTAGAAAACCCGAATCTTCCTCGTCTAGTCCTTGAAATTTACAAGACGTAGAGTGTGAGCTCTAATATGGAGTTATGGAATTATGATCGCTCACTAATTTGTATTCATCCACTATCAACGCATGTATGTGAAGGAACTGGGAGTTGGAATAACTTTTCTTCTCTTTTTCTCTTAGAAAAATTCGGCCACTTATAGGAAAAGGAGAGCAAAAAGTGTATTCTCCAATTTTCTATTGTCTTCTATTTATACAACACGAGGAGGACCCATTTGTTTTAACTTGAAGAGAAAGCAATAAAAAATTGACTATTTTAAATCACATTTAAAATACAATTCCGATTTAATTTGGAAACAAAATTCTCCCTTCTCTTTTATATATGGCCGGCCACACCACAAGCAGACCTCCCTATGGTTGGCGCAAATAGCAGGCAGGAGAGAGAAAAAATTTCTGCTTAATCGAGTTTCTAATTTTAGCTCAAATTCAGTTGCTTATTCTCCAAGTGGGATTCAGGCAAGAGAATAAGCAATTGAATCTCAGTGGGATTCACCCTGTGGCACACACCCCTGCACCTCCCTGTGCCTTGGTGTGTGACCTCCCATGGTCCCACCACAGTGTGTTCCAAAATTAATTTAATTAAAAAATCTCATTATTTATTTCAAGTGAAATTAAATCTCAATAATTCATGTTGTCTTGCAAATATTACAAGGATGACCTGGGGACTTATGGCCCTATAATTCTGAGCTCTAATAAAATTAATAATTAATTAAACACTTTAACTAATTAATTAATTTTATTAATTTTAAAAGTTACTCTACTAAAAAAATTAGAATTGTAATAATTCACTCTTTCTGTCACTTTCTGTATTTAATATTTAACACTTGTACTACACTAACAACATATATTATTATTTAAATAGAAAATGATATAGCGGACTCCACGTGTCAAACAGTGAATGCAGCAAGTGATATAGAGAGTGACAAAAAGAGTGATGCTAACATTTCTCTAACTCTAAATACAGAGTTGGATTCCCTTTTTTTAAAAAATAATAATAATAAATCGAAATCATAGCAGATAAGGAGAAAAAAAAGTTCTTATAATCATGTTTCAGTTTTATCTCCAAAATTTTAAATTTCACATTTCTATTTAGGGAAAATATAATTTTTTTCCCAAACAGAAATATCTGAAAAATAATTTCTTGGACCTGCAGATAAAGAAACTGTCAACATTGCATTAAATCTGTTATGACGATCCAACTGATCAATCAAACAACTCCTGCAAAATCAATGCAAGAAACTGACAGAAAACAAGAATCGCAAACAAAACTAGAACAACGATTACAGAATCATCAAAGAACTGAAGTTCAAAATGGACAATAAAGCACAGAACAAACGATCACACCCCAGAGATTTACGAGGGTCGGCGCTAACTTAGCAATTACAATAATAATTATCCTTGTTAGTGTTGTTTTGGTTATGGTTTTATTTCTGTAATAAAGAAGGAGGTTTCTCTACCTTCCGATGTAGATTGTGTTTCCCATCCACAAGGATTTTTTTTTTTTTGCAGTATCGGGGTGACCTTTGTCGTTTAAGCCTTTTAGTCTCAATTGATCAGAACTCTCTATCGATTGTAGAGGAATTGTTCAGAGAATCATATGTATGCTCGATTCTTAGTGTGCTTCTTCGGTTTTTTATTGTTGGAATCGATTGCACATTTTATCCCCATGTGCATTTTATTAGAATTTACTGGTGGAACTAGCTAGTGGTCGGGATTAAGTTTCCTTATACTATAAGGTCATTTGAGTCAACATTAGTGCGTATACTCTTTTAATTTGAAATGTAATTTACCTATAAAAAAGGGGTAGGAGTAATACCAGATGGATTGTTCATCAATAAGGGAGACACATCCTACCTTTATAAAAGAGGCATCTCCCATCTTTTTTAATACACCTCTCTTACCTACTTTTCATGAAACATATTTTTCAAATTCAAAGAAAAAGTCATTTTTAAAATAGAAGGATATATATCAGGGTTACAAAGCTTACTTATAGTAAGTTTTACTATATCATTATTATTAAAAATAATATAATATGTCTATAAGTTATTGCCTGACATTATATTTTTTTTATTTCCGGGTATTGAACAAAAAAAAAATCCATGATTCATATTTTTGGTTGATTAGTTAATTAATGAAATCTAAAGTAAATCCAGTCAACTACAGATCACTTAATTCAGTTGGTGGTTGACTTATAATATTAAAAAATTATTATTATTATTATCTAGTCAACTCTTTTTCTTTATTGAAAACCACTCATATTCTTACCTAGGTACAAAGTGAATTCAAAGAATCTAATGACACTAGTCAACCACTAATTACAACTTCGTCAAGCAATTCATTTCAAAATGTTATTTTTAGACTATGGTTTATGTCGCAAGGGAGGCATTTTTTGGCAAAATAGTATAGACCAAGACACAAAAAAGTGGTGCCATAAACATGTCATATTATTTGTATGGCCAACAAAGAGTTTCTTTATAGTCAACAATTCACTATTGAAAAGGATTACCACTTGACCACAAATTATAGTGTTAGTGTACAGAGTTAAAAGTAATGTAGGACCTTGGATGTCATTATTTAATAAGAGAAATAGTTGAAAATAGGCCAATATGAAAAGCTTAAGAAAGTATATAGGTCAATTTTTAGTTATAGAAATTAATAGGACATAATTTGTCAAGTTATGGTTCATAACCAGATAAGTTATGGATAAACTTGTCAAGTTATGGTTCATAGCCAGACAAGTTATGGACAATTATGGACAATAACTTGTCAAGTTATGGTTCATAACTAGACAAGTTATGGATGAAAACAGTAATTTGACCTATTTATTAACTTATGTAAACTATTGGCCTATTAATTTTAATTCATCTTAAGTCTTGGTCTATTTCTCTCTTTCTCCCTTATTTCTTTAAACAAAAACAAGAGGAAAAAATTGTCATTATTTGAAATATTTTAATTTAATAATCAAGCCAACAAATACTTGTCCCTTAAAAGAGTTGGATTTAAGTTTACAAATTAACAGAGATGATCCCAAGGAAAAACATGGGACATTCTACAATTCCTCCTTTTCTTCTATCAATTGTTATTTTCTCACAGTTGCTCTCGCCGACTCAGGCAACTAAAAAGGCAAGCATAGTCTTCTTTCTTTTCTCTTAATGCAATTCACACTTCACCATTAACGGCCTTGGAGTTTTTCCCTTGTTGTAGCCTTATATTGTGTACATGGGAGCACACTCACACGGTCCAAACCCTTCGCCGGTCGATCTCGAAAGCGTGACGACTTCACATTATACTCTCCTTGGATCATACTTGGGAAGGTACTTTATTTTGATATTTGTTTCTTCATAATCTCTGTTTTTTCTCCTTACAAAATGAAGAACTAATGAAGAACTAACCCTTTATTTCATTATAATTCTCAAGCACAGCGATGAGAAGGCTAAAGACGCCATCTTGTACTCGTACACCAGACATATTAATGGGCTTACTGCAATTCTTGACGATGCCGAAGCTGCAGAAATTGCAAGTGTGACCTTCATTTTCCTAAAGCAATCTTTACCCCATTCTGTTTTCCTCTGTTTTACTCTGTTTTTCCTCTGTTTTCCTATGTTTTTTTTCTCTGCTTTCTCTGTTTGACACATTTGTGAATTGCTTTTTGTTTCCGTCAACAAGAGCATCCAGATGTTGTGTCGGTTTTCTTAAACAATGGGAAGAAACTGCATACGACGCGTTCATGGGATTTTCTTAGGTTGGAAAGAAATGGAGTTATTCCTTCGAAGTCTATTTGGAACAAGGCGCGGTATGGTGAAGATATTATTATTGGAAACTTGGATACTGGTAATTTTCTTAACTTTTCAAGTTTATTGACTATGGGAAAAAAAAAAAAAATCTTTCAACGGACATTGAGAAGTACGGATCCATTGTTACTTCTTTTTCACTTGGAAAATGTGTGAATCCAATAGAGTGATCACTTTTATTCTGATATGATACATACCAACCAAATATAGTGCATCTCCAATATAACTTTATCACAAACCAACTTTCACTTGGTGCGATTAAATGTTTGACTTTTGCATAAGTAAATCATTCTACTCTTGAAATAATTGGCATACAATAATAAAGTATAAAACAATATTTCAAAAACATATAATAAATGTTTACTTTTTTTTTTCCATTATCTATTTTATCTCAATATAACATATATCCATTGCTAAATAAGCATGGCATTTTGTGGGTGGTGTCATTAGGGGGTTATATTAAACTTTTTTTTTTTTTTTTTTTTGAGATAGGTATTTGGCCTGAGTCAATGAGCTTTAGTGATGAAGGGATTGGACATGTCCCATTGAAGTGGCAAGGAATTTGTCAGCATTGCGTCAAGGATAAAGTACATTGCAATAGGTCAAACCTCTTTTTCTCTTCTCTGTATATCTATATATATATATATATATATATTTTTTTTTTTTTCTTTCTAGAGAGAATTTGGTTGTTGGTAGAGAAAAAAATAAATAACCGTAATGATTCTGCATAGCTCTGAACCGTCAGATCTTGTTACAATTCATAATCATGTTAAAACCAAAAACAAAAAAAAAAGAAAAAAGCATAAAGATTTAATAGAATTTGAGTGTGATCTGACGGTATAAAATTATACAATTACATACAGTGTTTTTGTACATTGTCAAAGATTTCTGCTTTTTCTATACTTGTTTTTCATAGTGAATTCTCTCACTTTTCTCTATTTTCGATAGCTAAATCTTGATTATAGTTTTAGTTAGACTGAAAACCATGAAGCAATATGAGTACTCAAGACTTCCTTTAATTGTAAGTGTAATTCGTATAGGAAGCTGATCGGAGCAAGGTACTTCAACAAAGGGTATGCAGCATATTTAAAGACTAAAAACTCAACTCTCTCCCCTATACACAATTCCACCTTGTTCACTACCCGGGACTATGTGGGCCATGGCACTTATACCCTTTCCATTGCTGGCGGAAACTTTGTCCGCGGAGCAAATGTTTTTGGCAACGGGAATGGCACCGCAAAGGGCGGTTCTCCGAAAGCTCATGTGGCCGCTTACAAGGTTTGCTGGCCGCCGGTGGGCAATGAGGAGTGCTATGATGCAGACATTTTGGCCGCGTTTGAGGCTTCAATAAGTGATGGTGTTGATGTGCTTTCCTTGTCTATTGGCAATGATAAGCCTATGGAATTTTTCAAGGAGGCGATTTCGATAGGGGCCTTCCATGCTGTTAAAAACGGCATTGTGGCTGTCACCTCAGCAGGGAATTCAGGACCGGATCCAGGAACCGTATGGGACAGTTCCCCGTGGACGTTAACCGTTGGTGCCAGCACAATTGACCGCGAGTTCACAACTTATGTTGCTCTTGGTAACAAAAAACACCTCAAGGTAAGCCTTAGTTTAACAATTACGATCATGTAATAATGCGAAGAAGTTGTGGCATTATGATTTATGTCATTTTGCACTAAACAATTTGAATGCTAGGGAGGAAGTCTCTCCTCAAAAGCCTTGCCATCCAACAAGTTCTATCCGTTGACCGGCGGAGCAAATGCTAAAGCTGCGAAAGTGTCTGCTTTAGATGCGTAAGCAAATTCAATCTATTGAAAAAGGGAAAAAAAAAAAAAAAAAAGAAATTATGTTCAAACTAAAAATGTTTTTATTTCGTAGCCATCTATTTATCATCTCTATCGAAAACTCAAGAATCGTTATCGTATTAATCATTAACCCGATCCTTTGTTTCGTAGGCACTCCCAGTAATAACGAACTTGCAAAATAAATTTCTTGCGTTTATGCAGTCTATATTGTAAGCCTGGAGCCCTTGATCCGAAGAAAGTGAAAGGGAAAATCTTGGTCTGCCTTTGGAAGGAGATGACAAGTATTGAGATGGGTGAGCAGGCTGCTCTTGCCGGCGCCGTCGGAATGATTTTGGCCAATGACATTGAAAGTGGCAATCGAGTTAACGCTGATCTTCACGTGCTTCCTGTCTCTCATATCACTTACAATGATGGAAAACTTGTACTTGATTACCTCAATTCTTCCAAGTACAACTATTTTAGAACGTCTTTTACACATTTACTTTTGAAGGTTAAAAGAATTATACTTCTCTAAAAACAATATAAATACTTGTATGCGTTCAGGAATCCTATGGCTTACATGACTGGGGTAAAGACTGAAGTGGGAGTAAGACCAGCCCCATTGATGGCTTCATTCTCATCAAGAGGTCCTAATACTATTGAGCCGGCAATCCTCAAGGTTCGAGTTCGAATTCATGTTTTCGACATTTTGATCTTTTGTGTCTTTGGGTTGTTCTACTTCTACTCCAATTTTTTTCTTCTTGTTTTTTTTTTAGCCGGATATCACGGCGCCTGGAGTAGACATTATTGCCGCCTACTCCAAGGCCGCCCCACCAACTTATCTAACATCCGATACACGTAGAGTTTCGTTCATTGCACAATCCGGGACCTCAACATCATGCCCTCATGTTTCCGGGATTGCTGGTCTTCTGAAAACTCTTCATCCAGACTGGAGTCCGGCTGCAATCAAATCGGCTATCATGACTACCGGTGTGAGCAAAAATCATCTTTTATCAAACTCGAAAAACACATGTTCAATAAAATTGGAATACATATAATGAAACATTTTTATGATAATAAAGTGTATAAAATTGCATGACTTCTATAAAGGTAAATTTATTATTTTTTTTCTACTTTGTTTATTTACCCCTAGCAAATTAAGTTTTAATTTTGTGACATGTCATGAATTTTTTTCACGATGAGTATTATTTTTCATACTAGCACCTTGTTGTGCTTGTGTCAACATACTTTTATATTCCGTAATCTACTATTTTTTGCAGCAAGAGCACGAGATAACAATATGGAGCCAATGCTTAACTCATCCATGAAAAGAGAAACTCCTTTCGCCTACGGGGCTGGACATATCCGACCCAACCGCGCTATGGACCCCGGACTTGTCTATGACTTAACCATTGATGATTACTTGGACTTCTTATGTGCTCATGGCTACAATCAAACTCTTGTTAGAAAGTTCTCAGACAAGCCACACAAATGTTCCAAGTCATTTACTATGGCTAACTTCAACTACCCTTCAATTGCGGTACCGAATCTTTCGAAATCGGTGATTGTTACTAGAAAACTTAAAAATGTCGGCACTCCGGGCACCTACAAGGCATATGTGAAGGCACCAATTGGGGTTTCTATTTATGTTAAGCCCAAAAGCTTGAAATTTGATAGAATTGGGGAAGAGAAGAGATTCAAGATTGTTGTGAAGCCAAAGGCTGTTGGGAAGTCTAAAGATTATGTCTTTGGACACTTGAAATGGTCAGATGGTAAGCATTTTGTAAGAAGTCCTATTGTGGTGAAGCACAAGTAGACATCATATAGTGCAAGAATGAGGTTTTTTTTTTTTTTTTTTTTGGCATTTGAACAAGAATGAATAAATTGATTCTTCTCCGTGAGCCTGAAATTTTCTATCCACAATTACCTGTTTTCTTTTCTCAATTTGTGAAGTGTAATTTTATATGACACCAATTCTAGTCTAGAGATAAAATAATTAAAGCATGAAAAGGAAGTGATTACTTGAATTTCTGCTTGTTCGAACTAAAAATATGTTCTTTACCTAACACCTTAAATCCCGCTTAACTTATTTAACATAATTAAAGCATAGAACACCTCTAGCCTAAGATATGTGAGCCTCCAAGAACATACAAAAATGTGCACATGCAAATATAAGATGGGAAATTATGCGGGGTGGCTTTTTTAACCACCTCCTTTCATAAATGGTCGAACTTTTTTTTATTTGACGAAAATGGTCATTTTGTTTACATGAGTCTATTCAATGATTGACCTATAAACCACAGTCAATCATAATTGACCGATTCATTATTAATTTATCAATAGATTATCATTAATAAACATGTAATTTATTGATTAAAATTGATTAATTACTAATTAATTTTGATTAATTTTTAACTAATTTGAATAATAATAAAGAATAGTCGAGTTAATCAGTGACAAATTAGAGTCAATTATGACCGCCAAGTCAATCAGTGATTGATTGCTGAGCCAATCAATGATTGACCACTAAATTAATGAAAACGGTCATTTTTACAATTTTACAAAACGTCGGCCATTTTTGAAAAATATCCTTAAAAAGGGCAATTTGTGTTGAAATTCCATATAACATTAACATTTAAAGAAAAAGAAGCAAAATTAGGAAGAAAATATAGTTAAACAGAGGCTTATAAAACTATATGAACATGGTTAAACATAGGAGAGGGAGGAATAATCCAAGAAACCTAATGGTGTGGTCGGATTAGGAAACAAAATAACTTTTCTTTTTCGCATAAGGATTCATGCCCATTAAGAGGACACAATTCTAAGAGAAAAGGATTACAGATAAAATCGCCTTTTTATTATATAAAGTTACACGTTTCAAACCATTCACTAGAAAAAGTCTTACGGTCGAATAACTAGATTTCAGAAGTCTTATTGAACGTAATTAACACAAAATTTTAAAAAGGAAAAAAGAGAAAATTAGATGGCAGGCTACGATTTCTATATGTCTTTGGATATTTTCTTTATAAGTTTGTATATGTGTCATCTTTCTTTATTTTTATTTTTATTTTATTTTCTACCTTTGCCTAGTTCATATTTATGGCTGAAATATTAAACTTTAGTATCTGTGGTATAAATACAAAGGTGAGGTTTTTATGTGGTATTCCTAAAATTTCTCGAAAGAGTATATAAAAATGTAAGAAAAAATTACTTGAACTTACCCTTAGGGACATTTAGTATGGGGTAATCTTAAGAGTATGAATGAGAATGTGCGTTTAGTTGGTAGATTCGTGTCATGATTTGAATCATGGTTCGTGATTCGCTATAGTATTTTCTCTCACGAAAAAATATATGTAAACCGAAAATGATTCTGAATTATGAGTCTGAATCATGAACCAAACATATACTCGGTTTTCATGTTTGGTATAATTATTGGACTTTTTTTAAACCCAAAAAAGTGAAACCCATAGATTTCACATTATTACATTTTGGGGTAATCTGAAACTCACATAGGAGGGTGTTATTCACTTTCTCATGATTTTTTATTATCACGAGAAAGTTAAAAACCACGATAAGTTAACCCTAACCTCTCTCTCACTCATCTCTTCCAAACCAGCCGCTGCACTTCTGTCTAGCAATCCGCCGCCACCCTTATGTCGACCACGCCTCCGCCGCCACCCTTCTACCATGCCGTCGCCCGACTTTTTGTTGCCGCCACCCCGAGGATATGATTTTTTTCTTTAATTTTGTGGGTTATTTTTTGTGAAACTTTTTTGGAGGTATTGTGTGAATAATCTTCAATAAATTTTTGACAGATTTTTCTGATGATTTTTTTTTGTATATGCTGTTAACTTCACTTCACAATCTGTGTTGGTTTTTTCTTTTTCTTCTTTTTTTTTTACTTTTTTCTTTTGTTAAATAAGTTGCTCTATTGAATTTTTTTTTTCTTTTCTTTAACTTGAATCCGTTGCTATGAATGGGTTTTTTTTTTTTTTTTTACTTTTTTCCTTTTCTTTTTGTTAAATATGTTGCTCTATTTATTTTTTTTAAAGTGTATGAGTCTGAATTTTTATCTTTACTCTTAGTTAATACATTTTTAACTAATATAGTTATTTAAATATCCTAAAGCGTATATAAGGGTATTTGTGTCTTTTTATTTAAATGTAAAACGGGCCCAAAAACGAATATTTTTTTTTGGGCCTTGATAAGCCCAATTTATTGCTAGACGCACCCCATGTGATGCAAAAAAGGGCACCCAAACTATTTCCCCACCATATAAGAGCTAAACCCTTGGAAGGTTTTTCTTCCTCTTTCAGTTCGGAGCCGTTTGTTTCTCTCTCTCTATCTCTCCCCTCTCTCTCCTCCGGCGAACGCAGACGCAGAGACGACGGTTCTCGGCCTCTATTGCGGCGGATCTCCGCTCTCCATAACTCGCTTGCTTCCTTTGAACCTCCTTCAGGTATTTTCTTTTTTCCTTTTTTTTTTACATTTTTTCTGCAAAAAATGGCCAATACTCTTGCGATGTTTGATATCTTTATTTGTGATATAATAAACAGCTCGGTCTTAGTTTCGATCGTAATTGAGAAATTAAAATTAAGATGAATCTCACTTTTTTATTGAGAAATTTTGTTCTTGAAAGTTTTGATTGCTTTCTCAGCTTAAAAGTTTAATCTTTGAGAAAAAGGTAATTAAATTGATGTTTAATTTCCTCTGTGGATTATGCTTGTTCTTAGCTTTCTCGCTCTTTTATGTTATAATTAGGAAATTAATATTCATTTGAATCTCACTTTTTTTTTCCTTGATAAATTAAAAATTCAGTCTTTAAGGGGTAAAAGTAAATACTTTGAGTTGTAATTTTCAGACTTGGGGAACTTGAGAGCTAAATCATTTTCATTTCATTGGATTAAGATTAGTAATTTTATTTGTGTTAAATTTTTTTATTTTTTATTTTTTTGTTTGATAAGAGTTCATGATTGTATATTTGGTATCTAGGTCTAGGAGAAACTTGTGGTGAACCAAACTCGATTCAAAAAAGATGCAGAATAACGAAGCTTCTGCTGCAATGGAAGTTGAAGCAGTTCCATCTGTGGCCAGAACTTTGCCACCGAAACCGAAGTTCAAGCCTCTAAAGGCTCACGAGATGTCAGACGGCCAAGTTCAGTTCCGGAAGGTCTCAGTCCCGCCGCACCGCTACTCGCCCCTGAAGAAGGCTTGGATGGACATCTACACGCCGGTGTATGAGCAGATGAAGATCGACATCCGCATGAACCTCAAGGCTCGTAAGGTGGAGCTGAAAACAAGACAGGACACACCCGACATCAGTAACTTGCAGAAGTGCGCAGATTTTCTGCACGCCTTCATGCTCGGTTTTGATTTGGTGGATGCTATCGCGCTTTTGCGGTTGGATGAGCTCTACGTTGAGTCTTTCGAGATCAAGGACGTCAAGACGCTTCGAGGAGAGCATTTGTCCCGCGCCATTGGAAGATTGTCGGGTAAAGGGGGTAAAACTAAGTTTGCAATTGAGAATGCTACAAAGACAAGAATAGTGATTGCTGATACAAAGATTCACATATTGGGTTCTTTTGCGAATATTAAGGTTGCAAGGGATTCACTTTGCAACCTAATTCTAGGTTCCCCTGCTGGGAAGGTGTACTCGAAACTAAGAGCAGTTACTGCTAGATTGGCCGAGAGATTTTGATTTGATTCCTCTTTTTTTTTTTTTATATATATGTTGTGGGTTTTATTCCCGAGTGATGGAATTTTGGCATGAAAATTTTGGGTGAAAACTTCATTGTTTGAGAGATTGATGTTGTAGTGATTTTAACTTTTATATTTATATATATGCTTCTTGCTTCCTAAGACTGGTAAAAGAGATGGAAAAAGGGAAGGACAGATGAGTGTTCAAGAAAAAATTGAAATTGCTTTAGTACAATGTTTGGTAAAATGGGATGGGAATGAAATAGAAATACTCCTATTTTTTGTTTTTGTTTTTGTTTTTGTTTTTTTTTTCTTTTGTCTCTCTCGTCCATTGGAAATTTCGTAGTTTATTGATGTAACGTAAATGACATGACTCAAGTCTATTTAAATGAAGGGTTTACGGTTTACTCTTTATTCATACTATTGTACACTTTCACATTGCACAATAAGAGCACGTTTGGTTTATAAATTTAGACTCATAATTCAAAATAATTTTTGTTTTACGTGTGTTTTTTATGAGATAAAAATATTGTAGTGAGTTACGAATCATGATTCGAATCATGGCACGAATTCTCTATCCAAACGTATCATTGACTTACTGCTTTAACAACCGCGGTGAAGGTAAAAGTGAATTCTCGTTTTACGTATGTTTTTTATGAGACAAAATACTGTAGCGGGTCACGAATCATGGCACGAATCCCCCATCTAAACGTCTCTTAAGTATTGAATTCTGGGTGTATTAAAAAGAGAAGAAAGAAATGCATCATTGACTTACTGCTTTAACAACCGCGGTGAAGGTAAAAGTGACCGGAGGGAGAAACTATTCATCCACAGAAAAGTACCTAATTATTATTGGTCTTTTAGCGATTAGAGATGGACATTAAGATTGTTATTGATAAGGGGGGAAAACGAGTAGTGAATGTTGACTAATGGTTATATATAGCATTGACTATTGTTTTTCACAATTACCATTGCTCCTGCAACAACTCCTTTTGAGAGGACAGGGCTTTTATATTTCACAAAAGAATAAAAGAATCGAGTTGAAATTCAAATTTTTGTGAAAAAAAAAAACTAGTAAAAATATTGAATTGTAATCCGAATCGTGGAAAAAAAAAGAAAAAAAAAAAGAAAAAACGGTGTTTAAATTCATTTCCATAACTTAGGTCTCATACTTCCTTCTAAGATCTTACCACTTCTCAACGCCGACAGACTGAAAAGTGTGGATTCACAAAGTTTCACTCTATTTTTCTCTCTTCACCCATGTCCTCCCCATGAAAAACAGCCTCGTGCCTCATTTTCTTAATTCAAAAATCTTTTTCTCTCATTTCTCCCTCTGATATCACCTTTGTTTCAAAAATAAGTGCGTTGATTTATGACGATGGATCGGGGGTGTGTGAGTGTGATGAAAAAGGGAAAAGAAAAGGGAATTACAAATACAAGAGGCTTGCGAAACATAAATCATTTGAATTGCAATGCTCGTTTTTTAGGAGTATGCATGATTAAACAGAATGTTATCCAAGGAATTTAATTTCTTTCAAAATGTAAATTCCTCATTGAATTACTCCAATGAATCCCCAATAAAAAGCATTATTCCGGAAAGAAATAATAAATGCTACAAATTGTGTGCCAACATTCAGCCCCCAAAAAGAAATGAAGCTGCATGTTCTTCATTCCCATTGAATAGCTTGAGAGCTTGTATGACTGCTTCTCTTCCAAAGCCTAGCTCCACAAGCTTCGAAACTTTGGCTTCGAAATCGGATCCCTGCAGTCATGCACGCAGTTAATTAAATAGAATCTTAGGTCAGATGGTTTACCTACTTACTGCGAAACTTGAATCAATCATTGAGTTCTAAAGCAAAAAACAACATTCCCAAATTAATTGGGGTCCGCTATATGGATTTCTCGTTTCCAGTCTGCTCTATTAAACACGAGACCCTCCTGAAGCCCTAGGTCTTGAAAGTCGTGCTTAACTACGTCAACTCAAGTAATTCTTGGTCTACCCCTCGCTCTCTTAGTACTAGATATTTGGATGTTCTCCCAAGCACATTGGTAAACATGAGAATGAAATAAGCACAAACCGAAAAATACTTTACCTGAGTCGAGCCACCATGAGTAGCACCTCCTGTACCAAATGAAGCAAAAGGTGATGTTAAAACTTGAAACAGAATAAACAATAAATAGTAAAGTCATAAACCCAAAAGATACCACATGCCGAGACAACGAAGATTTACGTTTGAGAGAATTGGAAATCATCATTAAATGGAATGTGTATGTTCTGCATACTCAATGCAGGTCAACAATAAGCAATGTTTTAGACACACTTAAAAAACTAACCTGAAGAGTGGCCTCCCAATGATACATTTTTTCTGTCGCCTGCTGTTCCTGATGTCACCTGAACAGTAACAAGAAGGGCTCGGTGATATATAACTAAACTTGAACCGTATTGTTATCACTTAATATAACAAATAAGAAGCAGTGTAATAATGCCATCGGGCAGCAAAACATCGAGAAAATTCAGTAAAAATCATAAAAAGTGATGAAGTACTCACTGGGGCTTCGGAGCTGGATGCTTGCTTGGAGTGCCTTTGTTCATCCAGAAAACGTGAGGGAATGTCTTTTTCTGAAAATAGACCACGTCATATCGTTTAATCTCTTCCGAAAAGCTTGAATACAAAATAATTCTAGAGATTGAGCGGGTTGCCAAAGAAAGAAAAAAAGCAGCTCATGCATAAGAGTATTGGAATACAGTAATTGAGCTACAAGTACACACATTGATAGAAAGACGAACCTTGCAAAAATGGTACAGAAACTTCTCCTCCACCAACTCTCATTACATTGTCCTTCAAATCTATAATGCACTGATCACACAGACATTGTCAGAAACTATAACATTAAAAACTATATAAACCACCAAGATAGATAGGTAGTATTTTTAGTTATGGACCAACAACGCTACCTGGTGCTTACGGAGCATATCCAACCCAAAGAGAAATTCCATATTGGGGGCATCAAGTACCAAGAAAGAGCAAGGGTAAAATATACTCCCTATCTAAAAAACAAAACCCCAGTATTGTAAGATGTTAGACTTTGCATTAAAGATAATGAAATAGTTTACAATGCTAATAAAAAGTCTTTACCAAGTGGAAAAGGTTAAATAAGCTTGCCTCTTCTGGTATGTAAAACCCAAGAAACAAATATCTTATCTTCAGCATGAACTAAATAGAGCTGGTGGATATATTACCTTAATTGGAGCTACGTGTATTCTACCCAATATCTCTGATTGACCAACACCATGAGCAATGCCCTTGTAACGTTGATCCATAAGCCTCAACAACCTGTGGATACCATGCCCCCGATAAAACAATGGGTCTTCCTGATTTTAACTCTTAATAGACAATTTGTTTTCCATTAAAGTAAAAATAGATCAAGAGAGAGGAAGCTGCATATATCTTTAGAAAATTACCTACTTGCTGCGATTATACAAACTTTAAAGTTGATCGGGAAAAAAAAACGAATTGAGCAGATAAACTAGCAGCATTAACAATGTTATCAACCAAAATTGATACGAATCACACCATATTTTTCTCTTAGATCTCACTATCTAGCTGTCTAGTGTATCTGATAGAACCAGAGAAATCAACACAAATCACAGCAGGAACTCAAAGGAAAATGATGGATCAACCGGTATTCTACTGATAAATTGTACTGAAAAATCAGAAGGAATTAAAAGGATATGGGGTTTTTCGAGAGACCCTTGCATTCCCTAGAGCCTAAGCTCATCTAAACTCTAAATACAAGAGAAACGATCAATGCCCTCCCCTAAGGCTCAGCTCACGTTTTATTCCCTGCCTCCTAACTAACTGACCCCAATCCCAATGCCACGTCACTGTCATTCCCTCCCACATCACAGCTACCAATTCCCTTGGTCCCTTCTGCCACCTCAGCTTCCTTGTCATCCTTCAAAGTTACAGAGTTCCCTTCCGCCAACTCAGCAGCTTGGTTCAAATTAGACCTCGCCAAAGTTCCCATCCTAGTCTTCCTCTTACGTGCATAAGTGAATCTCAAAGGAGGCTTATCAGTATCAAAGCACAAAACAAATATAAAAAGCCATTTCTAACTTCTTCTGATTAGAAGTGTAGGATTGACCTCACAATTGCTTATTAACAAAGAATTATTATAAAATCTGAAGTGGAGGATATGCATAACAGAAATTTAAATTGTTTAGTCCACGAAAACCTTTTATAAAAGAGTGAAGAAAAAAAGGAGTTCTATCATGGCAAAGACCGACATAATAATAAAGTCTATCAATCATACATACCCACAACGCTCAGCACAACTTTTCGATATAATTGTTGACTGAGCTCCACTATCAACAAATGCCTGAAACAAAGGCCCAAAAAAAAAAAAAAAAAAAAAAAAAAAATACAAGCCCACCGACTTGTTTACATAATACTTTCGTTTGACAGATTTCAAGCCCCCCAAAAAAAAAAACCCAAAAAAAAAGCCCAAAAAAAAAAAAAAAAAAAAAAAAAAAAGAATCTAAGCTTTAGCAACTATAGTACGGAAACAAACAAGCATAAGATGCCTACAAGAATCTGAACTAAATGTTGTGAGTAAAGGAACCCAAAATATAACGATTTCAGACAACTTAGAAGATAATACAAGCAACAAAATTGACACTACTACTAAAAAAGTGATATCATATCAAATTTGAACTGAAGCAAAAAGAAAAATGGCATCAAAACCCTTAGACATTTTAAACTTCCAGTTACCTTTAAAGGTACTCCATTAACTTCCATGTCAACATACAACATAACCTGAAGATTTCATTAAACATTTCAGTCACTTGAGAGCGGGGGGTTGGGGGGGATGGGAGGGAAATAGGAAGGAAATACTTGGATAGAAGTTGAACATTAACATACCACCCTTGCAAAAGCTTCTGGGTTATGTTCCAGTGCAGCTGCCCAGTTTTCATCAATTCCTTTCTGCAAAAGTCTAGAATATTAAAACCAGTCACATCTGAAAATATATATTTATATGCTCCGGTTATTTGGGGAAAAGATAAAACTAAACCAAGTACTACTTTAAATTATAAGTTGATTAAAGAAAGCATGGAGTTGCATCAATCAAGTACTACTTTAGTTCCTGCCGTGCACAACATTTGAGTGCATGTGTATAGGCACACATGCACGTGCAAAAATAAATAATAATCACCTGACGTATAGCAGCTTCAATCTTCTTTTGAGCTTCAACATCAAAAGGATCTGCATAAAGAAGGGCCTACATGACATAATAATAGAAAATACAGGTAAATTTTCAGTCTCATCATTACAAAGTTAAATCAATTCTAGTACCATCTTATACACTTCACAGAGGAAGTGCTATAGGATTAGAAGGCATAATTATTAATTTAAGCAGCAATATAATTTAAGGTTGAAATTGAATATTTCCAGGAAAAAAAAATAGAAATTTATAGGACAGATTTTTATTTATTTATTTATTTTATTTTATTTTATTTTTGAAGAAACAAGGAAAAAGTATTATTATAGGATGAAAAAAGAATTACGACAGGTAAGGAACAAAAAGGTTCCGATCAAAGTTCAGAGAGAGACACAGAAAAGCATTTAATAAGGAACAAAAATTGAGAAGCTATGGACAAACAACAGGACAGAGAAAGGTCCAGAAGGCCACTTACCATCTCTTCTTCTTGTTGACGCCGATATTCAGACCTTTGCCGATGACGCTCTCGTAAGAGGTCCTGCAATCTATTGAGATTATCCCCGCCAATAGCTTGAGCTAATTCAGGATCATTCTGTGAAACAAGGGGCAAAAAAACACAAACAAATATTTCATAATTTTAAAAGGAAAATAATGGAATTAGAAGGACAAAGGGAGGGCCTACGATGGCAGTGGCGAAACATCATAAATTTGATGCAAGGACTAGAGTCTAGACTAGATGCCACAGAGTTCTTCTTGTTCAAAACACTTTGTTAATGTATATGCTTCACAACCAAGAACACCATCACTTACCTGAAGCAGTTGTGCCAGCAAATTAGAATCGTTTCGAATTTGCCTCTGGAATGCTTCAGGGTTCACAGCAGAGCCATCTGGATTCAACCCCAAATCATTGGTAGAGCCACTGAAGTAATTTGAATATCCAACAGTTAGATGAAAAGGCACAAATACATCCACAGGAAACAAAATTCCAAAGTCAGCAACGAACACTAAGATGCATAGTTTTTACATGAACAGATTATAGACAAAGAAGCTTATATGGTCCACAAATCATCAACTTCGGGAAAGCAAATAGGTTCAAATTTGCCCCTTTTCGTGAGGTTCCATGACAACACTTGATAGAGAAATATGAGAAGCATACTCAGATGAGGGACTGAACCATCATCATCTAATCATCACCTTTAACACCAACACCACTCAGTTTCTCAGACTAACACTAACATGAATAGTTTTAGATCAACAAACTACAGAATGCGAAGTTTATATAGTGCACAAATTATGGATTTTAGGAAATCTCAAGTTCATCCCTTTTCTTGAGGTTCCATTACAATGACATGATATAAAACATACCCAGAAGCGGCATTAAATAACATCATGACGGAATCAACATCTTCTATACCATCAGAATTCAATTCAGTTTCTCAGTCTAATACTAAGGTGCACAGTTTTGGATCAATAAACTACCGAAAAAGAAGCTCATGAAGTGCAAAAATTATAGATTATAGAAAACAAAATAGTTCAAGTTCTCCAATCAAATGACTTAAAGCATACCTGGAAGCGGCATTGGATACCATCATGACCAAATCATCGTCTTTAACACCAACAGCACTCAGTTTCTCAGAATTCCTAATCTCCCTCCCATTGAAGAGCAGCTGCTGCTGCTGAAGTGGCACCCGCGTCTGCATCGAACAATTGTACACAATTAGCATTCAAATCCCAAACTTTCTAAAATCCACACAATTAGCATTCAAGTCCCAAACTTTCTCAAATCCACACAACGATCTTAAGTAACATCATAAATTACATACTAAAAGATGTAGTACTATCAGTCAAATGTCAAAGGGTTATCAACAGTTCACTTTTTAGCAATAAACAAATACATAAGCAATAAGCAAACAAATAAAAAAAGAAAATTTTTGCTTGTCAACCATTTAATATCAAGTTCTCAATCTTTCTCAAAGCCAGATATTGAATTTGGCATTAAAAATAACATAAAAATTCAATCTTTCCCCTTTTTCATCAGATTCCTCATTCAACGAAAAATCCAACCATTTTTCACTACAGAAGAACTACAATAAAAACACATGAATTTAACAGAAAAGAACCCAAAAAAAAAACAAAAAAAAAAAAAAACAAAAAATCTTACCTCCACCTCAAGCAGAGCTTTAACATTTTCAACCTAGAGTAACGGAACAGAAAATCAATGTCAGACCTAAATTTGAAACTTTTAATAATATATAAAAGAAATCGATGAACAGAAACAGATTAAGAGGAAGAAAAACGTAATTACAGTTTCATGAGGATCGACATCCAAGCTAACGATCTGCTCGTCGGCCGTCATTACGGTGATCTTCATCTTTCTCTCTCTAAAAACTCTCTCTCTCTCTTCCTCGGGATTTGTGTCTTTCTCAGTTGGAATTTTTGCGCTCAAATCTTAAATTTAACCTCTGAGTTCATTAGCTTAGCTTTGAGCCTTGAAGTCTTCGTCTATAAGGAATTTAATTTAATGTTTTATTTAATTATAAAAAAATAAAAGGAGATTCTTTTGCGGCTCAAAAATCACAATTACCGATTTTTTGGATTATTTTTTTAGGCAAATTGATTATTGAATTTAAAGGAAACGACAAAGATCTGAAACTAAACGTAGTGAATTGTTGGACACGACACGACAACGCAAAACTAGTCGTATGGGCCTTTTCTAGTATCGAACCCGACTTTTGGGGGACTGCCGTTCCATTCACGGGCTGGGCTGGTACATGTGGACTTTTAGAAAAGGCATGATGTCGTTTTCACTATTTTAACGTCCTATTATTCCTCGTAATCTCTCTCCTTCCTTATTATTATTCCTCGCTCTCCGTACAATTCACAACCAAGCAAAAATTACAGCCTTTCTCTTCTCCAATCTCTCTAAAAAAAAAAAAACCCTACCGTTATCATGAAACCTATAAATACATAAATATACAATTAATTCACTTCTTTTCGCTTCACTTTTAATAAATTATTGACATAAAATAAAAATAATTTTAAATTATAATTTTAAATACATAAATCAAACGTGTTTAGAGAACCGTCTAAAGTTGATTTTTTATTTCTCTCGCACATGAATTCGATAAGATTATTTGATATTTAATATATTATATCAGCATTAACTCCCGTTTGGCGTTTTCCTGTGGGACTAGGATTCCCATACGGGTTCTTTGCAAATTTAGGATTACAATGACCATTATGTTAATCATTAACCTCCAATATGATAACGTTGCAATGATGACCTCCTTTATTAATGAATTTTTTGTTTTTTTCCAAAATGCCCTTTAGAAATAAAAAATAAAATAAAATATTAAAATTAAAAGAAAAAGAAAATAAAAGTACCATCTTCTTCCTACAAAAAAAAAAATATATATATATATATGTCCTTTTCTTCTTGAAAAAAGCATCAAAGAAACGTAATCCTCCCTCCACTAGAATTGCCCACCACCACCAAAACCATCATCCCTATACTCCGGTGAACGTCCTCCACCGCGTACACACTTCAGGTGTTGATTTCTGCAAATAAAGAAATAGAGGAATCCACAGGTTGTGAAATCTCTAGCATTTTGGAAAATTAATCTCAAACCCTCCTATTTTTGCTTTAAATTATTGTTCAAAAGATTGGGAATTCATACATAGGAGTTTAATTTGGAAAAACAATAATGATTCATCCTACTTTGCACAATATTTCAACCTATAAAATCCACAAATTCAAAGGAGATCGTTGTAAGGCCAAGTAAGATCAGTAAGACTGATAGGACTATGCAGACCGGTCTTATTGATCTTACTAGCCTTCTTTTATTATTATTTATTTTAATATTCTTTAATAACAAAATTTATTTTTCTAAATTTATTTTATAATTCATCAGTTATTAACATGATACATAAAGTTTAGTTAAGAAGACAAATGCTAAAAAAAATTATTTATATTTATTTAAAAAAAATATACCGCCCCAATCTTATTTAATGAGAAAACAAATGTGTCATGATTGTTTCACTAGATATTACAATTGATAAGATCTGACGGACAACAATCGGTCTTGCCAAACTTACCAGGCTTAAAAGGTACCAATCTTACCGGTTCTCTCTCAAAAACTACACTTATTAATTACAATTTGATATACAAAGTTTATTCAATATTGTCACACTAAGATAATTATAACTTTATTTAAGAAAAAAACGAGAAGATATCCAATTTAGCTTAATTATGAGGCGAGTAGGGTTTACAGTCACTTTAGAAGACTTATATTAGTTAATGAGATTCCACTAAGTTAGGCATATAATGATCATAACGTGACATATAACTCACCAACTAATACTATAAAGATATTTTAAAGTGTTGTTCTATTATTATAGTTAACCATTCAACATTATTATAATTAGAACTCACCAACTCACATTTTGTACAAATACAAGCTCTCAAAGCCTCAAAGAATATATATAGGCCAAGAATCATAAAGTAAGAGAGGCCGAAAGCCTCAAGTACTTACAACAATAAAGTACTTCTAATGGAGTGTTAACAGTTGGAACTTGAGAGGTTATGAAGGTTATGAAATACCAAATATTAATGATAATAAGAATGGGGATCATGCATGCAATTCATGAAGGTGTTAGGAATGTAAACATTCGCAATTAATAAATCAATTTATTCGTAACATTTATATATAAAATTTCAAAAAGTAATCAGGTATATAATAAATGTTATATAAATATACTTAGAAGCCCAAAAATTATATTTAATGTAAACATATCAATATCACATTTAATGTAATACAGCAAAATAAAAAAAGTTACCAAACAAGGAAAGTAAACCACATAATAATATATATTGGATCATAAAATCAAAATGTTATTATGGGTGGGAAAGTCAAACCCATAATATATCAGAAAAAAAAAAGCATATTACTATTATGAAAAATAAAATCCAAAAAAAAAAGTCCATATAAAGATTGCAAAAAAAAAGTCCATATAAAGATCATGCCTAGAATAGACCATAAGATCAGTAAATCAGGAATAAAAAATACATTAATAAGTACAAATAGATATTTTTATAGTATTGTATAATAGTAGACATTCTTAGATCACCCCTTCGATAGTAGACATTTTATATAATTACTTCAAACATTTGATCCTATTACTATCTATGAACTAATTTTCTATATAAAAAAAACTTAAAAAGGGAATGTTGAAATAATCGCTTAGAAATTCTTTTTCGAGATACTATTTTGAGGCTCAATTTTGTGTAGGACCTACTTCGTGTTAGTGAGGTTCAATTTAGATTTGTATTCTCTGTTATAAGGAGATCAAAATCATATATTCATATGCTTAATATGGTGAACGAGGAATGAGAAATTGACTCTCAAAATACTCCTATGAAATTGAAAAAACTTTCAAGATGTTAGGAAGTCTTTTCTCTGACATTAGAAAGAAATAAAGTCATTATCTCCGCTAAGCCTTATAAAAAGTATCTCACTCCTCAACTGATACACAGCAAAATTTATAAATCCTCTTAGCCTCTTAGAAAATTTTCTTCTCCCATATGTATAATAACTGATTTTTGTTTGTTTTGTTTGTTTTTTGATCCAATAAAAAAGAAGATTTGAAATTCGATTTAACAGGCTTTTTTCTTCTTTTTTTTTTTAGTGAAATACAAATAGACCCATGTGAAGGAAATACAAATAGACCCATGTGAAGGAAATACAAATAGACCCATGTGAAGAGTTTGCGACAGTTTTTGAAGAAATAGCAGTCATAAATACATACATAGACACAATGAATTCTATATGTTTTTTATTATTATATTTGTATTTGATTAATAATTAATTCACATTTTTATTGGACCCTAAAGGAATTCAAAAATATTTATTATTTTATGCATTTTGTGAAATTATTAATTTAGTACATTGGTCTAAATCCAGACCATAAAATTTTATTATTTAATTGAGATTATTTATTTATCCAATATTAATTTATTGAAATTTTACTACAGTCATATTCAAATAGGAAATAAAGGTGTTCATATCTTTTAACGTCAAATAAAGAAAAATCATATATAATTAAATTATTTTTTGGATTAATTACAAATATTCTCTTTGAATTATGTCACTTATAACATTTTATTTCCTAATCTTTAAAACGTAACATTCATTCTCTCTAAACAATGAAATGATAAAAAAAATACCCCCTCTCTTAAGAAACTTAACATTTTTTAACATGTGTCAAATGAATAACAGTTGTTGTTAAATAATTTAAAGCACAAGTACTATTTTAACCACACACCCTAATTTTTTCAGTCTAATTTACATACAATATAACTAAAAAAATAAATCTTCTTCACTAACACAATTAATGATGGAGGTTTAATAATTAAAAGTTCGAATTAAAATTAGTTTTGAATTCATATTAAATTCAAATCATAGAGTTATCGAAATATCCTTAAAATAATTAATTAAATGTCAATTTTCATAAAAATTTATCTGAGAGGTTTTTTTGTTAATATTTTATTGTTTAAGAAGAACGAATATTATGTTTTAAAAATTGATGAATAAAGTGTTATAAGGGTTATAATTTGGTGGGAATTTTGTAATTAGTCCTTTTTTATTTTTTATAAGGGATTTGAATGTGCAATGGGTGTTCAGTACGGGTCTATATGTGCAAAAAGGGGTTCCCGTTACATATTCAGCAGCAGTAAATCTTCTTCATCTATTTCGCTGCTCTGGTAAAGTTGTCGTCTTTGATCTCGAAATAATACTTTCCGTTCACGCCCAAATCGGAAGAATTGTATGTAGAATTCTGCTGAGTAACCCCACCTTCGAATGCTCTCATTCTGGTCCCTGCGTTCCTGAGTTTTAGAAGGTCTCTCATCCTCTCTCTCTCTCTGACTTTATTGAAACTTTTCGATATGTTTGGTTGGGAATTCTAACAAATTCTCTCTGTTTAAGTGTATTATGTAACCTTAATTCTTTCATATTTGAATCATTTGTAACCGTTTTCTTATACCCTTTGGGGTGGTTTTTCTGTCTGTCGAATCAATTTTGTCAACCTCCCCATCTTGAAAGTTGTGTTCAACTCTTGTTTCATATCTCCGATCTCCCTGGATTGGAAGTTGATTTTGTATGGTTCTAACGCAGCATTTGCCTTTAATCATTAATTGGATCCTCTCGGTTTGAGTCTCATCTCATCGATTCACAAGTGTGTGTGTGTGTGTGCGCGCGTGTATTATTATTATTTTTTATCGTCGCTTTTTTCATATTTTTCTCTATTTTAAGACTATGTTTTGACATTCAGAATTAAATTTGTTTTTTCTTTGGGTAATTCAATTAGAGTATGGTACTACTTTGCATAATTTGATTGTGGTTGTATGATGTATTGATTATCATGTGAAGTAGTATCTTCCCGTTTCTTTTATGTTTTCCTGACTAATTTATGTCTATACCATAATAGTATAGTAGTATCGACATTGACCTGAATATGTTATAGATCAAGTGTTTGTATTAAGCACTGTGTGAATGGTTTTTGATGATTTGTATAGTCTTTCTTTGTTTGGTAACTAGATTTGGTTGGAGCTCAGAAAGCATTGGATTGGATTGAGGATCTTGGAGATGTCGAGTGGAGAAGTGATTAAGCGAGCCAAATACAAGACTTCTGTCAAGGATCCTGGAACTCCCGGTGTTCTCAAAATGGTAATTCTCTTTCTTTGTTTGGTTATTTTTTTTTTAAATTTTGTTAAATGGTGCTTTTATAGGTTAATTAGTGCTTATTTTAGTGGTAATTACTTGCTAATCAATGATGCTTATGTTTTTATATGCCTTTTGCCGTTTAAGTTGTGCAATTTGATTTACTTCACTAAATGAATTATTGGGGTTTTTTTTTTATTTTTTTTATTATTTTTTTATTTTTTTCCTTTTCATTTTATTGATTATGAGGAATTTGGTACTGAGAAACTCTAATGGTTGGAAATTATTTGTTTTCATTGATTAGATGATGATACATTATCATCTATTTCTTTGACTATTATGTTAAAAATGAAAGAAATTGTGGGTCATTGAAGCTATGAGTATTTTGGTTTTTGTATTTGTTTTGCCATAAAAGAAAGTGTTTTATTAACGACTTTTGAAAACATTTGTTGCTTTGGTGCAGACTGAACAAAAGTTCCTATTCAATCCCAATGATCCCAGTTCTGTCACAAAGCTGGATGTGGAATTTGCACACATCAAAGGTACTGCTTGTTTCTTAAAACGTGTTTAAATTAACCATCTAAAGTTCCGTAGGTTTCGGTTCTATAGCTTCACTTTCCTCTTCTCGCCTTGTTAATGTTCAGGTCATAAACATACTAAGGAGGGATCAAATAAGCCACCTTGGCTTAATCTCACCCATGATCAGGTTTCTTTAGTTTTGGATTCTTAACCACATATTTTATTCTTAACCACATGTTTCTTAAAACTGTTGCTTATTCATTTGAGAATATAGCTAATGTTCTTTCCCTTACTCATGGACTTCAATGTGGAAATTCCAATACTGTGTTGTGCCAGGGTGGAAGTTACATATTCGAGTTTCAAAGCTTTGCTGATCTTCATGTATACCGAGAATTTGTGGGTAAATCTCATTAAAAAACCATTAAATGGTATCTTATATGTAGCTATTTCAAATAGTGATACTCACCAGCCCAATTCTCTTAATCATCGTGCTCATTTTGCATTTTTTTATTATGTGATTGCTCTATCATTGTATAGGAAATGCCCTTGCGAAGTCTGGAGAAGCTGCAAAAGCTGCTTCTACTGCGAAAGTCACCTCCTCTACGAAAGTTGCTTCTGAGAAATCTGCAGTTTCATTTCCTGATGAACAACTCAGCACGGCAGAAATGGAGCTTCGGATGAATCTATTGCGAGAAGATAGGTAATATAGCTTTCTGTACCTAGGCGATAAAACGGCATAGACTAAATGGCCTTCATGAAAAATTGAGGTCTTTTATCATAATTATATATTTTATATTACCCTGTACAAATATATATATATATATATATATATATATATGTATCCAGTTTGTATTAGGGGCTTGGCAGGGATAAAATTGAGGTCTTTTATCATAATTATATATTTTATATTACCCTGTACAAATATATATATATATATATATATATGTATCCAGTTTGGATTAGGGGCTTGGCAGGACTAGAAGCTATGATTTGGCTAATAGTTTATTTTTTTGAACTTTCTGTGTGGAGTACTAATATTATACATCCACAGCGAGTTGCAGAAACTTCATAAACAATTTGTGATTGGTGGTGTGTTGACAGAATCTGAGTTCTGGGCAACGAGGAAGGTAAGTTATTTTTACTGAAATTAAGTGTCTTAATCTGATGTTGTTTTTCCCATTGCTTTTGAAATTGAGTTTCCTTTAAAGGTTGTGATGTAGTGATATCTATTCCCCCTATATATAATTACAGAAACTGCTTGATGTGGATAACCGCGGAAAGTTAAAACAAAGGGTTGGTTTCAAAAGTACAATGATATTAGATACCAAGCCTATGGCTGATGGTCGGGTAGAATCTCTCTCTCTCTCTCTCTCTCTCTCTCTAAAGTGAATTTACTGCATTCTGTTAAGGTTTTAATTCTGCCAGTTTGGTGCCTTAGTGATGAAATTATTCTAACACGTTTTTTAAGGGGAAAAATGTTCCTTAGTTCTTAATGTTATTACTATTATTTTATTATCTTATACTTGCTGATTCTTCCTCTCTCTTTTTTTTTTTTTTTTTTTTTTTTTTTGGGTGTACGAAGACAAACAAGGTTACATTTAATTTGACACCAGACCCTTTTTTTTTTTTTTTTTTTTTTTTTTTTTTTGGGTGTACGAAGACAAACAAGGTTACATTTAATTTGACACCAGAGATCAAATACCAGGTACGGTTCTATGTATGCCCCTTTAGTCCTTTCCTTGGTTTTCTAATCTTGGAAATAATATAGGTATTCAAGTAGCTGGTAATGGTACAAAACTTTTATGTGTTGCTTGTATTGTTGCTGAATTATATGGTTGTTTTCATCTTTCAGATTTTTGTTCTAAAACCAGCTGTTCACCAGGCATTCCTTAATCTTGTTCCCAGTAAGGTATTGCAGATGCTTAAGAAATTATTCCTCTAATGTTTATCCTTGTCCTCGACTTTATTTGTTTCTTATTAGGCCTAGGTACTAGATGTGATTATTCTAAAAGCATGCTTTGATATTTTCTGTGTCTGTGAGTATCAGATGACTGAAAAGGACTTTTGGACAAAATATTTTAGAGCTGAATACCTCCATAGTACAAAGAATGCTATTACAGTCGCTGCAGAGGCTGCTGAAGATGAGGAACTGGCCATTTTCTTGAAGGAAGACAATATTTTGGCAAGAGAAGCTCGTAGGAAGGTGATCCTTTAAAGTGATTTTCCATCCCTTTCATTTTATCCTTTTTGACATTTTTGCTGCATTTGTTTTTTGTGATTATAATACACAAAGTCTTGTAGCTTCTTTGTCCTCATGGTTATTTCTTGATTGCAGATCAGACGGGTTGATCCTACTTTAGACATGGAAGCGGATCTAGGGGACGATTACACTCATCTTCCCGTAAGTAGGATAAGATCATCTTTCAATACACCTTATTTAGAAGTTTCTTTTACCTGTTATTTTCTATGGAATTTCTTGTACTTGCCTTTGGTTGAGATTGACCTACTTATAAAGCTTAGTTAATAGACTCAACACGTGATAAAACTATGGTAATTAAGGGACTTATAAATAATAAAATAATTTGAGTTTGGAGTTACTTATTTTAACCCTCTTTTGATATTCAGGACCATGGAATTTTCCGTGACGGTACCAAGGAAATAAGTGAAACGCAGCATGAGCAATACATGAGAACTTTGTCACAAGATCTTAACCGACAAGGTGCTGTTGTTCTTGAAGGGAGAACTGTAGGTAAGACTTTCTAATCCACCAATTTTTTACCAATATTTTTTATTTTTTTTATTTTTTATTTTTTTAAGCTGTAGATGCAATATCTTGCCTATTTCTGTTACATTCCTTCTTTTAAGTGGATGATAATATAGAAGATAACCAATGCCAATTGTTTGACCTGCCGAGACTCATTAGTCGTTAGGTTTCGCTAGATAACATTGCCTTGTATAAACTTGACTGCAGATGTGGACTTGGAAGATCCACGAACTGTAGCTGAAGCACTTGTGAGATCAAGGCAAGGTTAGAATGGTTTATTCATTATTTCAGATGGAAAGCCGCTTCTCAAGTTTTTTCCTCAAAGACCTCATTTTTTCTCCTTGTTCTTGTATACTTTTCCTGATGGTTTTGCAGAACTTGATGGGGATAAGACACAGGAGAGACTTGATAGGCTTTCTCGGATGACTGATATAGAGGATCTTCGAGAACCTCTGGATCATCCTTTCGCCCCACTCTGTATCAAGGTTTGCACTATCATTATTATAATCACGTCTTTCATTTGTGCATGTAACTCATGTAATTCATTTCAAACCAGGATCCTCGCGACTACTTTGATGCACAACAAGCTAATGCGCTTAAAACTTTGGATGATGCACGGAATAAGATGGAACAAACAAAGCGCAACCTCAGCATTGATGAAGCATATGGCTCTTTGAGGGATTCGATATCTAAAATAAAGACGATGGGATTGAGTGACCCCATAGTCAAACCCGAAGTTGCTCTTTCGGTAAAAAATCTTTCTTCATGATCATTCAAGCTAGGATATGCGTATGAACCAACCATATGTATAAACCAACCATACGTATTTCTACAGCTATGTGTATAAACCATCCATATGTATTTCTACAGCTAGAGAGTTACAGCTCCTCATCTCTATGGTGCAGGTTCTAAATGGATTGACCCAGAATATATCCAGCTCCAAGTTCCAACTAGGGAAGAATTCTCGGGAGAGTATTCTGGACGGTTTGCCTAACACAACAAAACATGAGCTTATGCACGTGAGTTGAGATTAGTTTTCCTTTTCCTTTTCTTTGTGCATGCTTTGGTTACTTTTCCTAGTTGTCATGTTGATGAGAACCTTTTTTATTTCTTGCCAGCATTGGATGTCCATACAGGAATTACTGAGACATTTCTGGTCTTCATATCCTATTACTACAACATCTCTTCACACAAAGGTGAGTTCTTAATTTTGTTTAACCATCTGTTTTCATTTTGTTTCGTTTTAATACTTTTTGGAAGTCATTCAGTCGATGACGTGCAGGTGAGCAGATTAAAGGATGCCATGTCACAAACTTACCGGCAGCTTGAGGTATCTCTTTAGCCGCCCTCAAAAACAGTTTGTTGTTCCGTTATTTTCTCGGTTGAAAAACATTGAAAGGAGTTTGGTGAAATCTCATGCTTGTTAATACAGGAAATAAAGGAATCCGTGCAATCCGACTTTCGGCATAAGGTTTCCCTTCTAGTTCGGCCAATGCATCAGGTGAATCAACGCCTCTACAATTTTCAGCTTAACTACATAATCAAATTATACCGGAACTGAAGGATGAATTTTGTGATTTTCTCAATAGTTTTCGGTCAAAGAAATAATTAAACAGATCATTTCGGTGCAGGCCCTGGATGCTGCTTTTCAACATTACGATGCAGACCAACAGAAGAGATCGTCAAAAGGAGAGCCGCTGAATGGATTTGTGTAGGATTCTTAGGTTATTAAGTTGGATTGCCAATGTCAAAACCAATTTTGATGTGAGCTCCTAATGCTATTATATGTAGATGGGTTTTCCATTTTTGCCCCATCAGCGGAAGGAATGAGACAGTCATACGCGCATGCCTGCTTTCTCTCACAGGCAGGCGCGCCCGTGGTGCGCGACCCCTTGTTGTAAAACTGTGCTTTCTGGTATTAAAGAGTGAAAAAAGTGAGAAGCCATTATTGGTTAAAGAGTACTACTACACATCTTGATTTGGTGTACTTTCTGCCCCTTTTTTTGTTCTCATAGAATCATTTTGGAGTAACGGAGACAATTGTACTTTCGTCATTACATATTGCATAGTTTCGAACTATTAGATCACGTTAAAATCATATTGAATCTCAATTAGATTTGACTGTTCAAAATTACGCCGTATGAATTATAAGTAGTTAAGGTCCCGTTCATTTCATCGATTCAAGTTTAGAATTCGAGTTTTGATACAGTAAAAAACTTTAAAAAATAATCATATTTAACTTTTTTACTATAATAAAAAGTTTTCACATAAAGTCACATTTTAATTCGAATTAAAAACTTAAATAAGTGAATTAAATGAGTCTTAAAATGGTCTCAATAATTATGCTAGCTTTTGAAAGGACAGGATATCCTTATGTTGGTACAACTTGAAAAGAACAAGGAAATTGTGAGAATAACATAACAAAAAAGAAACACAAAAGTTGGCAAAACTTATTGAGCAAAGTATTTACTGCGGAAATGGTAGGACTTGGTTGATGAAAATTCAAATACTGAAGCAAATATTGGGATCAATATCTAAATTTTTAGATTAGATTAATCGTAAAACAAAATTATTATAATAGTCGCATTGGAATTGTAACCTTTTTAGTAGCATACAAAACCAACGGTCTTATAATTTTGAACGCTGCAATTAATAGTGATGAATTACGTTTTTGTCCCTAAATTGATAATTACCATTTTCCCTTATGAATTATGATTATTATTTGTTCGAAAGAACCATGATCAATGAATTGAACATATAGTTCAAGAATTCATTAAAACAAATGGAATATAAAATAATCCAAGAAAATTATCAATCATAATAGATCTAAAATCAATAATCTAATATACACAAAAAATTATCCAAAATAAGCCACCAAAATTCATATAAAATCAGTGACTATACACAAACGAATTGGCCATAATGAAGGACCAAGAATGAAGCATATAATTATTGCAATAGGATCAACATATAATTATCCCAAAAGAATTAAGAAAAGAAAAAGATGACATAGAAAACAATTATATATTCAAAAAAAAAAAAGCTAATAAAAACTAGAAAGGTGGAGGAGCAAAGAAGGGCCTCCCCGTACCACAAAAAGAGCCATGGACCGTTGGATCACAGAAATCAACGGTGTCCTTGAGCTTGTGGAATCCATTCTTGAACACTCCGAACCCAAACAGCAAACCGATGAGGATCACCAACAGTATCAAGCACGTGCACAGCATGCACATCCTCCCTCCACAACACATCTTCTCTCTCTAGAAAAAACAACACTCAAAGTTAGAGAGAGAGAGAGAGAGAGAGAGAGAGAAACCCAAGATTGGATTATTTATTTTGGTTTTCTGGGTATTTGGGATCTGGGATTCTGAGAGGTGAATTTGTATGGGATTTGTGGAGAATGTGGAGAGAAACGTGTTGGGTCTCTTTCTCTTTCAAGAATTGGAATTTAGAGAGAGAAAGAGCGAGTGAAAGTGAAAGAAACGGAATTGCTTTGATGCTATGGCCAATAGGTAATGGCATGCTTTAAAGGAAAGCAACCCAAAAAACTTTTAATCCGTTTCTTAAACTTTCCAAAATGATTCTTCTCAATTTATTTATTTATTTTTTTTAATTTAACCGTGTGAGATAACGTATTTTTATTAATATTGTGGGTCTTTAATAGCATTAAAATGAAAATTTATATGTGTATATATATGTTAAGGATGTGGGAAATTAAAGGCAATAAAAAGATAAAAATTGGTTGAAGTATAATATCAAGATATTTTTAAATTAAGAAAAAATATATTTTTTAGACTATAAAAAAATTTCATTTTTCTTTCAAAAAACTGGTTTTGTTTTCCCTACAAAAATTTAATTTTTTCCTTATATATATATATTCTTTTGTTTTTGTTTTTGTGGGTTAGATTGGTATTCGTAAAATGCTAACGTTTAAAGGGTGATCTAAAAAAAAAAAAAAAAAAGGAAATTATTAAAAAGGAGGAGAGTTTGTTGTGTTCTAAACGGAAAAGGAGGCTTGCTTTTTATGAGGGTTGATTATGACGTGGTAGCAATCGATTAGTGGAGTGGTTAACACTTTAATCAGAATTAAGTTTTACTACGGTTTTGTTTGTTCATCAGCTTAAAATATACTGAAGCTAAATAAATACTTGATATTGATTTTAAACCTCTATTAAATTATATATCTAAATTAGTAAATTATTATCGGGCCGTTTTTCCATCATGCCATGCAAAAAAGTCGAGAGAACGTGGGAAATATCATATTTTATAGTGATAATAATAATTTGTTATTTATTAACTAACTAAAATAATTATTTTAAAAACAATTTCTCTTAGTCGATGACTACACGTCCACTTTTTGCGGACCACTATGATGTTTAACATGTCAACTGCTTCAAATTCTGAAAGCCCATTCACACAATTCACATTTGTCGTCAGCTTCACTTTCTGTCGCTCAAATAGTCAAATTCAAGCATCAAGCCTTGAAAGAAGAACCATTGCAACACCAAGCTCAAGAAGAAGCTTTCTAACATGGGGATTGACCCGGTCACTCACAAGCCATTTTCCCACCGTAAATTTAGTAAGTATACATTAAAGTCAGTTTCGTCGTATTATAAGTTGCTTTGGTTATGATTATTTTGAAATTCTTTCGGTATTAAAGTGTTACTTTTTCGTTATTTACGCAACTTCATTTTATACTTTTCTCCTTTTAAAATAAGATTATGAATGTTAAGTTACGATTAGGGGTGACAATTTTTGTTGACAGGTCGTGTTCGTATCGTGTTGAGCTCTTCAGTTGATACGAATAGGTCTGACACGAACACAACCTGTTTATTAATCGTGTCGAAATACAAAACTCAAACACGACCTGTATATTGGCGGGTTGACACGACACGACACGAATAACCCGTTTATTAAACAGGTCATAAACGTGTCGTGTCAACTCGTTGATTACATGTCAACCCGTTTATAAAATGAGTGATAAATGGGCTGTATTAACTTATTTCTAAACTTGTTTATAAAATAGGTGATAAATGGATCGTGTTAACCTAATTCTAAACCTATTTTTGAACCTGTTTATAAAATGGGTAATAAACGGGTAATAAACAGGTTGTATATTCGTGTTACCCAAATATGACACGCTTAATAATGTAACACCCCGAAGAATTAAACGAGATTAATTAACGTAATTAAGATTTATTAGTGTGCATAATCTGGTTTAATTAATTAATTATTGGTTATTAAATGTTTCTGACGTGTAAATTTAAATAATTCTAAGGTATTTAAATATTCTCAGTAATTATATTTTATCCCAGAAGTGTGTGTGGGCACATTTCTAAACTGTCATTTTAAATATTTTGACACCTGTTTTTCTTTTTATTTTCTTTTCCTTTTCTTTTTCTTCTTTCCCTTTTTCCTTCCCGTGCACTCTCTCTTTCATGTCGTTTCCACTCTCTCTCTCTCTCTCTCGTTTGTTCCTCTCTCTCTCCCGTTTGTTTCTGTCTCTCTCCCGTTCAAATCTTTACCAAATCAACTGGATTTCGAACCAAAGGAAAATTTTAAGAAGTTTTCAACGTCAAGAGACAGATTTGAGGTAAGATTTCTGAAAAACTTCTCTTGAATCTCTGATTTTTCAGATTTAAAAACTTATTTTGGTTCGAAATGGATTTTGAGTAAAATCATGGTAGAAATTTAAGATCTTTGGTTCTTTGGACTGTATTTATCATTTGGAACCTGGATTGGGTGATTTCCCTTTAAAATATCTCAGATTAGACTCAGATTTGCAGGTTTTCAGACTGATTTGGTGAGTTTCCTCGCCCTGCTGTCCTCCACCGGCCGACTTGTGCGGTCGACCGGACTGCACTGATTCCACTGGTCGACCTATGCGGTCGACCGAATTGCACACCACCGGTCAACCGGTGGTGTTGCACTGCTTTGTCACCGGTCGACCGGTGTACACGGGGTTTGACCTTGTTTTGCTTGAAAAACCCTGTTTTGACCCCAATTTTTTAAGAGAACCCAAATTAGCTTCATTTGGGGATCTAGAGTAAATGAATTAGCATCTTTAATCCATATTTTGATATTAAAACTCTTGGAATGATGATTTGAAGCATGAAATGGTTTATGAAACCGGTAATTGAATTATGGCACACTAATAGAAAATCAAAGGATATAATTGAGATTGAATTGCTTTAAGAATGAGAATTGGATCCTAAAGTGTTATCTTGTACCAGTGCTAGCTGAGGACTCAGATTAAGGGGATTTGAGGAAGCAAAAGTCAGAATAGTGCATCGCTAGTAACAGGTTTGGTACTTGAGAGGTAAGATTCCTTATCCCTTTCTTTGATAGCTTGTTTTCAAAAGAGTTTTGGCCTAGTAAATGTTTTAAAGAAAGGGCATGTTTGCGAAAGAAAAGCATGTTTTAAAAACAATAACTTGATTTTAGCTATTGGAATTATAATGAACTATTTCATAAAGCTTAATGAATGATTTCTTAAGACAAGAGATCTTGCGAATCGGTAAATCGGCTGATGGCTTAAATAGGATGTGGAGAGTGCATCCTTGGGGGCAGAACCCGAAACCCGGCTCGCGGGTGTAAAGGCTTGTGCTTGTGGTTGTGTAAGTAATTTATCATAGTATAAATTACTTGCTGATGCCTGGAATACCGAGATTTTCAATTATATTTCCTTTGAGAAAAAGGATGTGAGGTTCCGGCTGTTGTGTTAGAGCTGAATGTCTATATTTATTTCATTGTTTATTCATTTATTTATTTACTCATTCATTTATTTATTTGTTTATAAAGTTATTTCAAAATATATCCTACTGGGTCTTTCGCTCATGTTTTATTATTTTATAAATATTAAACTCCTCCCATGCGACTCTAGGAGCAGTGCAGAGTAGCTGAGTTGCTACCGTTTGATTAAGTGAAGACTGTGATCATCCTTCCTGTATACAAGTGTAAGAATTGTAAATTCTGTAAACCCTGAACTCTGGATTTCTAGACTGTGGTTGATGTCTGTAATGTTGTTTACATGTTCATGTATGTACAATGTTGCATGTCCTGTGGGTGAAGCCCTGAACGATGTCAGAGAGTGCGGAAGACCCCGTAACTCTCTTGTAATTTATTTTCAGCTAAATGTGGGGCTCGTTTGAAAACTTCTTTAATATTTCACTGTTGGTTTTAATTATTAAACATTTAATCACGTTTAACTCCTAAACGAGCATTCACGTCACCGACTCCTGCCCCGGGGCGTGGTAAATAAACGGGTTATGGCAGGTCAATTGCGGGTTGGCGGGTCAACCTGAAAATGACACGTTATTTAATCGTGTTTCACGGGTTTGACTTGATTTTGATCCGGACCTATTTATGATAAATCTAAACCCGCTAATTTCGTAAGGGTTTCGAGTCTTGTCGCTACCAGAATTGCCAGCCCTAGTTACGATTACTGTAACGACCTAGAGGCGTTACACGAGTAGACATTTTCTTATCTTATATGACATGTTAGATGTATAGACATATTACATAAATATTATTAACATAATAAATAAAATATGCAATTGGCTAAATTAAAACCGGATTTTACTATCTCCCTTGAATATTTAAATTACAGCCCTTATAAATAATAAATAAAAGAATTCCTTCTCGTCAACGTTCATCCTGAATGTGAGTGTGACAACAGCAAGCATGCGTCTTGGCCATGCACGTCTTCATGTATTCACGTTTCGAAAACCAATACGCGGAAATAATTTTTTCAAAAACTTTTGAACAAATCACTGTAAATACATTAATTAAATGCATATATATATATATATATGTGTGTGTGTGTAAAACGAGAATAAGAATTTTACCGTAGGTTGATTAGGAAAATCCTTAATTCTTTCATGCCAAAAGAAACTCTCTTGGTTTCTCTTTTCTCTAAGAGACGAAAAATTGAAAGTCTGAAAAGTGAATTTTCTATCTTCATTGACCCCTACTTTTAGTGATAGGAGGTAGAATCCTTCTAATTAATTGGGTCACACCCATTTTCTGCGAAAGTGATGAGCGCAGGAGGAGAGACAAAAATCTCCACATGCCTGTTTCTGCCTTATCTCCCCAAAAGTCAAATATCTGTTTTGAAGAAAATCCATATTTTTTAGGCCGATTTCTATGAGGCCGATCTCTTGAAGTTGATTTTAATTGTTGCGAGACCGATCTCATCACTCGATGCTTGATATTTTTCTGTTGTTTCGAGCGTTGCTGGTCTCCTCACTGCTAGAAATTTTGGGCCCGTTTAGTAACGTTTTTAGAATGATTTTATTTTCAGTGCAAAAGTAAAAATGAAATTATTTTGAGAATCATTTTAAGACTGATTCTGAAATTACATTTAGTTGATTCTTTAAGAGATTGTTTCGACTACAGTAAAAAAGTGAAATCGTGTTTGGTTATAATTGTTAATTAATATATTATAACATTGTTGATAAGTATTAGAAAATGAAAACAAAAAAAGGAAAATAATTTTCTACCGTTTTCTAATTCCTTTATAAAAATCATTCTCATTGTTTTTCGTTTTCGTTTTTATTTTCAAAATATTTGTTAAACAAACACAATTTGTAAACCGTTTTTATTTTTTTTTATCTCAAAAGAAGTGCATAAATGTTTTTAAAAACAATCTGAAACTAATTTCAAACGTACAATTTGTCATTGTTATTTGTGGTTTTTTTTTTCTCGGTTTAATTTAGTTTGTGTTTGTAATAATAATGGTCTTTGCCTCGACTTCTTTTTAATCTGAATATTGTGTTTCTCCCATGATCAATTTGGTCTGGCCCACTCCTCTAGTTACTCGAAACTCAAACATAAAACTTATTTACGATTTGTTTTTTAAAAAGAATTTTTTTAAGTACAAAGAAAATTAATACACATCTTTATGGTGAGATCTAAAAAAAAGACCTACGGGTGAGACCCCTGTTTTCAACCGTTGGATTAATTTTTCCTTCTACCAAACAGGCTCTTAGAGAGAGAAAGAGAGAAGGAACTAGGTGAATATTTTATGCAATGTGGTTATATCATGTGGTGATAAGAAAAATGGTGAAAGTGTTATTGGTATTTTTCTTGGAGATGTGGAAAGTGTAGCTTGAAGAAAAACAAGCTATATTTTGAGCAATAAAGTAAGACGTTTAGGACTTTTTTTGTGGTTTTACAAGTGACTTCATTCCCTTATTGCCTTCACTCCTTCCTTTTCCAAAAGTGAAAACTCACTGTATAAAACAAAAGAATAGATTTCAAAGCCAAAAACAAGGGAGTAGAAACTAAGAACGCGTTTCTTACTTGTGCATTTGGCACAGAAAGATAAAGCTACAAAATTTTTCCTTCACATTGTTTGCCGCTGGTGATAGCGGCTTCACGCTACAACTCGACCACACCAGCCGACACCAAGGGCGGTAAGCGGTTGTCTAGGCGAGATCAAAGAAGAACTTTTGATCCAAGTACTTAATTCTTCCCCTTCAATTGTACTACTTTTTGGTTACATGACACATCCGGTGGATACAAATCAACCTAAATTCCAGAGGCAACCCAAAATATTAAAGTCTAAGTCTAAGATATATATATATATATATATATATATTTAACATCTTATGTAGTAACCCAAGGAAACATAGCATACCACGGTTAGATCACATTACAAAGCCACATATCTCACATTAAAGCAAAATTGAGTTTTATTACAAATTTTTGCTTATATTCACAAGATTAGCGACAAAATTTCAAATTTTCGCTTATTTTCACTCTAGAATGCTGCCTTCCAAATTTGGCTAAATAGTCGTTACTGAAGCACCTGACACATTTAATCTCCATGGAGTACGGGAAGAACCTTTAGACACAGGGGAGTCTTTTGGAGCATAAGAGGTATCATTGGTCATAGATGAGTTTCTTAGAGCATGAGAAGTATCTCCATGGTGACATCTCCGGTGATGCCTCCGTGGGGGCGTCCACAGTGACGCCTTTGGAATAACAACTGTCATGGAGACGAATCCTCGCAGCTCCAGAGCAGAAAAACTTCTCATCTGGCGTCGGAGGGGAAGGTTCCACAACTTAAATTCCAGATTTTCGAGACTCCAACGGCTGCGAAAAGGGTTTCTAAGACTCCTAAAAGGAAAACCAAGGATTTTGGGGTTGGATTCTCCATCACCCATTCATTCCATTGCCCAATTATCTTAAAACTCCCGAAGTGGGACTTAAAATTAGATCAGACTAAGAAACAAATGGGCCCCCTCGATTAACCATGACCCACAAAACCACGGCCCATCCGAGTTCCCCGAGCGTGGCTTGAATCCACGAATCGAGCCCAATCTTGTCACGTGACGAAATCATTGGGCCTGGACCCTTGTATAGGCTTGATACAAAAATGACCATCAACATTAGCTCCGTTGGTCACGAGAGCTATGTAGCGTAGCAAGATAGTCCGAGCAAAAAATCATTGTCTCTAGCATGTTGCATCGCAGTATTGCGATAGAGCAATCCACATAGTTGTCGCTCCTTAGATTTCTGAAATCAACACAAACAATGTCTCACTACACCACAAAAGGCCTTTCGTAACTGACGAAAAACGCTATTAATCACTATCAATAGCGCTTTTTAGAGCGCTAGGACAGCGGGCGCTATTATAGATCCTAAGAAAACATAACGTTTTAAGAGAGTTATAAAAAGCGCTATAGAATTGAAGTATTATAGCGTGTAAGAAAAGTTACTTTCATCCTCTTACAGCTCTTTAGCATAGCTACGATACAGATTAATAACTTTTTTTTCTTATTATGTTCATATTGTTGTAACTTTTTAAAATTATTATTGATATCCTTTTGAATTCATTTAAATAAATGGTAATTCCAAAATATATGATATATCTAAATAGGAACATTCAAATTAAAATATAAAAACATTCAACATATCAATTGTTATCAGTAACTATCAAGCTATCCATAAAATTACGTCTACAACATAATTCATACAGTGTCCAAAACCTTAACATTCAAAACAAGTAAAGAAAACAGAGAAGTCATCTCCAAAATGTCTAAGTGCAATGGTGAAGTAAATCCTTCCATCTTGACAAAATGCTTCCACAAAAAAGTCATCTCCACTGTTTAACCTGTAAGAAAGTGATCCACTATCAAAACAATAATCAAACTCAACTAAAACTTCCACCATTTAACATATAAACAAAACAAAGACTAGTTACACCATTCACAACTACGTAGCCACATTCACATATGTATTTGCGGCTCATTCAAATAAAACTAATTAACAAGACAAGTCAAATCCAACTCCAAGATTACCACTAGATTACCAAAAGAAGAGACGAAAATTTCTGATAAAAACAAAGGTAAGAAAAGCTCCACTACTGGGTAACCGCAGAAGACTTTAGCCACCTTGGTCGCAAGCACACGTTCTCGCCTTTCCACATAGTTAAATGGAAACCAACCGGCTTTTCCCTTACATTCACCTTCAGCCCAACCACTGCTTGAGACCTACACAAGCACCTAATTTAAGTAAACATACTTATAACAGGAATGTTTTTGCAAACTTCATGCTCCATAATCAGTGTTAGCAGTGCAAACCCAGATATTGAAGGCAAATCCACTTCTATCAATATGAGATCCCCGTTGTGTGGTCTTCCCTTCAGTAATTCTCATGCCTTTAAGCCATCGGGTACCACAGCAACTGCCAAAAAAAAAGAAAAAAAAATCAGTTGCTAAGATAAAATTCAAAAATTCTAAGCTCAAGCCAAATTTGTTGATGAGTTCTAAAAATATATAAGTATATATTATATAAAGTAAATGACTAAAAGAAGGTAAGAAAAGGATTTCTTAAACAACCATATCGTGTCAAATCGCTTGAAATGGCTTGAATTGCTATCAAAACGGCAATACTGCTGAGGCACACCCCAAAAAACAGAAAATTCATTTCAAAGGAATTAGTTTTACAACTTCGTTTTACATCAATTACTATCGCTTGTTTATGTTGCTCTAATTCAAGAATCAGGAAAAACCCATAAGAACATAGAATTCACCAACTGTACAACCGAAAAAAAATGGTTGGGAGTCAACTCACTTGAACAACTGAAAGTCTACGGCTGACTCCCAAATTCAGGAGACAGAAAAAATATACTTAAGACTGAAAATCCAGCAAAACCCATTTCACCATTCAAGCAAACGAAGCCAATAAAACCGAATTAAGAACCAAAATAAAAGAAAACGAAAGGCAATCAAATGCATCAACTGAACGAGCACAACCAAAAACGAAGGAAAAAAGAAAAAAGAAAATGACCTCTGTAGCTGCATTTCCTGAGAAGAGCGGCGATAATCTGCCTGGTGGAATCATCAGCTTCGACCAACAAAACCCGCATCATCATCCCCGGCAAGAACCTGTCACACCTCGTAATCGCCCCGCTCGAACTACAACCATCTTTCTTCTTCCAACTTCCATTATAATTACTGTTCTTATTGTTGTTATTACTACAAGTATTCATTTCTGTCTCTATTCTATTCTTCTCTGCTGCTTCGTTCATCTCCAAATCCTCACTGCTCAAAACCACCTCCCTCATTGAAACACTTCAAATCTCTCTCTCTCTCTCTCTCTCTCTCTCCCCCTGGCATAATCCCACCTGTTAATGTCCTCCAAAAGCTTGAAAGGAAGCACCTTATTGTCGACCTCAACGTGGAATTCGTACGCCACCGAATACCCCACCCGCGCATCTCTTATATCAAAACCAGAAATCTTGAGGTCATCGGCTTGAAGCCCTAAAGACTTCACCGTTGCTTCCTTCAAATCCTGAATTCAAAATCAAAACTAAAAAATTTACAGATTAAATAACGCTAAAGAAATGAATCGAAAGACTGTGAAAGAAATTGCATTTTGTGATTACTTACGGAAATAGCTTGGGATATGGAGGGCTGAAATTAGGGGAGCCCGAAAAGAGGACGGAGATTGCGAAACCACGATAAGCAAAAGCAACACTCGTGAATAAAAGGATTTGTTCAGCAAACTTAGTATGGATTTGTTCAGTTCGACGAGAGCAGTCCAAAGAAAGCACTTTCCGGAGATTAGACGTCGGAAGGCACCGGAAACTGCGTTGGAAGATGCGGTGGCCGGGAATTTCAAACTGAAATTCCGGCCGATCGGCGGGGAATCGGGCGGCGTGGTGATGGGGGTTTTGTAGATCAGCTCATGGGCTTCTTGGATTTGATCTCGGATCACTATGGGTTGGCCAGAGGTGGTCGGAATCGACGGCGGCGCATTTCCTCTTCCGTCATGAGTCTCTCACGTTTTTCTCTCTCTTTTAACGCTGATGAATAAGCGTAGAAGAGAATTTGGGAAGAGAGAGAGGGAGAGATGGGGAGATGGCAGTTGGTGGTGGAACGTGTGATGTTCGTTTGTGGGGCTGATTTCTGGAGGATAGCTGTGCTCTGGAAATGGTTTATGGTCGTATCCCACTTGCAGATTTTGCTTTCAAAATTTTTCTCTCTCAGTTTCACAACTTACCCAGGTTTTACTTCTTTCTCTCATACGGTGGTAAATTTGTAGTGACCGGCCGTACAGGAGAATGAGGTTGTTTCCCTCTTGGCCGGCCAAATGACTCTTCGAGTGAGAATGAATCCGTATGGGCATTTGGGGGTTTCTTTTTTTTTTTTTTCCCCTGATTCTCTCGTATCTTGCACGCATTTCATTTTAAAAAAAAAAATGGGGGGAGGGAGCGAGCGGGAAAATTGGAAAATTTATTTCCAATGCCCGCCCAATATAATTGTAATCTGTACATTTATATATTTTTAAATATATATAAAATAAATCAGTCAAAATGTAAACAAATTTTAATATATATGTATATATATATTATAACTTTTTATAAACGTTATTATAGACTAAAGCAGTAACGTTTTTTGAAAAGCGCTATAACTAACCGCTACGAAAAGCCCTTTTTCTTGTAGTTGATCTCTTCGAATTCTCAGGATCAGCTGTAGACAAATTGTTAGATAACAACTCCATAGATTCACAGGGTTCTCCAGAGGAAACTAAAAGATAGTGTATTCGTGGACTCGCAAGGTCCGCTAGAGATCATTCACAAAATAATGCCTCCAGAGGTAACTCATCTCTGGAGAGAGCTTGCGTCACAACCAATTCACGCATGGATCTAAATCCGGTCCCCTGAAGAAGATCACGGGATAACACCTCCATGGAGATAACTCGTCTCTCCGGAGGGAATAAGTTCGCACATGGACCAAGAATTGCTCCGCTGAAGACAATCAGGAATCGTGCCTCCGGAGGAACAGGAGGTGCTATGAAGACACACTTGATCTTTGCGCGCCTAAAACTTTGCTGGGAAAGTTTTGAAAAACCTAAGTAAAGAAAGACTATATATTTTATTTTTAATATGATGTACTAACATGTCCTGCTTCAAATATTTGTTTATATTTCATATAGGACCTACTAGAAAACATAAAAACCTAAGGAAATTTGCTGAACTTGCCGTAGAGTGTATGAGTCTGGATTTTTATCCCTTACTATTGATTAATACTATTTTAACTAATATAGTTACTTGACAAAAAAAGATATTAATCAAGAGTGAGCACTAAAAGTCCGGACTCATGAATTTTAAGCGGTATTTATCCCCTTATCTAATTGTACACAAATTTTAATTCCAATGCTTATTGAAAACTGCAGAGTACAAAATATTAGACCAGTTTTGGATCCGATGAAATCACTGGCATATGAACTCCCAATTGGCACATTTTGGCTAATTCCGTAAAATGAGTTCTTTTCTGCCAAATTGAAATGTGAACAAAATGATGAGGCCCACTAATACAATTACTAACTATAAACATTGATTGAAAAAGGAGCAAGGAACAAAAATGTCATTGTCATTAACCCGTTGGGAATTCAAGTTGGAAATATAATATTTGTTTCATTTTCCGATGGACTTTATTGTGTCAATAATTCAAGGGCTAAATAGTCTTTACATAAGTAGATTTTTGTAATTATCTAGAGGCGTGAGTGAACATTATGAATTGTATATTTCAATCATTCCTCATAATTCCAAGCAGAATATGTCAAGCAGTCTTCTCACATACTGATCTTCTCAAATCGCCATCTCCGAAAAGGTAATGAATTCTCGTCTGAGTTTCTGTTGCAAATTTACTTGTTTAAACCTTCAATAACAGAGTTAACAACAGAGGAAACAGAGAATAACAGAGTGTATCTTTGTCAGTTTTTTTCTTTGCAATACCTTTATGAACACTGCATATTTATGGAAAATTGTATTTATTTTTATTTATTTTTTTGGCAGAAATTTGGCCTAGTTGACGCATAACAAATCTCAATCCTTTTAGACCAGAAAGGGGTTTTGGTAAGTAGTGGAAAAACTGTTCTCAATCAACATAACAAATCTCAATCTAATTTGTTGCTTTTTTTTTTTTCTTTCTTTTACAAATTTGCTGATTTCCTTATTGTAAAATTGTTTTTATAATTACTAATAACGTATTCATTTATTATGTATTGACCTTGATTTCGTATTCTATTTTGTCAGTGGATGGATAAAATTCATTTCCTTGTTTCAACTTCGAATTTACATATTTGAGATAGTTTTTTCTAGTGTTCATATGAATTCTCTTGTTAAGTAAAGCCTCCTGTAATATGATGGCAGACTACAAATATTGCAGAAGGAAGTGAAGTGTCCCTTTATTATATGAACAGAAGCAAAGTTTCGAAAAAATGGCGGAGACCGCGGTGGGCTTGATTGTACATAAGTTGGCCTCATTGTTGACGGAAGAAGCGCACTTGTTGAGAGGCGTTCACGGTGAAGTTGAGGACATCAAATGTGATCTAGAATTCCTTTTGGCTTTCCTTAATGATGCAGATACAAGAGCCGAAAGAGATCAAACGACAAGCAATAACCACGGCGTTAAAGTGTGGGTGCAAAAACTTAGAGAAAAAGCATTTCAGCTAGAAGATGTTATTGATGAATATACATATCTCATGGCCCAACAACAACGTCCCCACAAGCATAGATTTATCGGCTTCCTCCGGAAAAGTGCTTTCTTGGTTGTAAAACTAAAACCGCGCCATGACATAGCATCAAAAATACAGAAAATCAAGCGAAGGATTCGAGATATAAATGTGAATAGTGCAACATATGGCTTTAATGCCACTCTAGAAGGGTCTACAACTACTGCTCGAAGTAACACATGGTATGATCCTCGTCAAGATTCTTGCTTCCTCGAGGAAACTGAAGTTGTCGGTGTTCAATCGACAAGAGACGAATTGATTGCAATGGTCGAAAATGAATCTCCTCAACGAAAAGTGATTTCGCTGGTGGGGATGGGGGGTCTCGGCAAGACCACTCTTGCCCATCAAGTATACATTCGCGTGAAAGGAGGATTCGATTGCCATGCTTGGATTGAAGTGTCTCAAACGTACAATAAGGTGGAGCTGCTACAAAACTTGCTGAGGAAGTTCTATGAGGCAAGAGAGGAACCTGTTCCGGAGAGAATTGATGTCATGGATCAGATCACGCTGACAACAAAAATAAGAGATTACTTGCGAGGAAAGAGGTACTTTGTTGTTTTTGATGATGTTTGGAACTCAACTTTTTGGGCTGACGTTAAAAATGCTTTACTTGACCCCAATGAAAAGTCTGGACGTATAATTATCACAACGCGATATGTGAATGTTGCGATTTTTTGTAAAGAATCATCATGTGTTTATATCCATGAAATGCAATGCCTCCCTCTACACAATGCGTGGGAACTCTTTTGTAACAAAGCTTTTCATTATGACTTCCAAGGGCACTGTCCAAGCAACTTAGAAAAGTTATCTCGGGAAATCGTTGAAAGATGCGGTGGATTACCACTCGCGATTGTTGTCATCGCTGGTCTTCTTTCAACGAAAAACAAGACTGCAGATGAATGGGGAAGATTGCTTACTAGTCTAAGTTCAGAGTTGGAGAGTAATGAGCGTTTGACGAGCATAGAAAAAATATTATCTCTAAGTTACAATGACCTACCTTACCACCTCAAATCTTGTTTCTTGTATTTTGGAATTTTCCCAGAGGACTACTCTATTAGGCGTAGGAGATTGATTCGACAATGGATAGCTGAAGGATTTGTGAATCCAAAGAAGGATAAAACATTGGAAGTGGTTGCAGAAGAATATTTGGTAGAGCTTATAAACAGAAGTCTCGTTCAAGTATCAGAAATAGACCTTAATGGAAAACCGAAAAGTTGCCGCATCCATGATCTTCTTCGTGAGATCGCTTTTAAAAAGATGGAGGATCTACATTTTTGTCAAGTTTTGTCAAGAAGGGATTCAAAGTTCAGAGGATTTGCTCGGCGCATATCGATTTACTATTGTTCTGATGATGCATTTGCGAGCCACTCTAAGACATCTCATGTTCGATCTCTTTTAATCTTTGCTAAAGATGGAATGCTTGACTCTCTTGGAAATATAATTTCTCATAACTTCAAGCTCCTAAAAGTTCTAGATTTTGAAGACGCCCCAAGACTAGATCACCTTCCAGAAGATATTGGAAAGTTGTTCCACCTAAGATATTTAAGCGTCCGAGGGACACGAGTGCAGTTTTTGCCAAAATCAATTAGAAAATTGGAAAATCTGGAGACTTTGGATCTCAGGAAAACATTGGTCTATGAGCTACTTGTTGAGATCAATCGACTTCAAAAGTTACGACATCTTTTGGTTCACCATTCTGATGGCGGCGAGTATTTTCGTAAAAATATTCAATGGGGAGTAAAAGTAAATAAGGGAATTGGGCTTTTGAAAGCATTGCAAAAGTTATATTTTCTCGATGCCAGCATTGTTAAAGTTGATGTGCTTGAAGAGCTTAGTGAGTTGATGGAGTTGAGGAAGTTAGGCATCAAAAACTTGAGAAGTGAAGATGGGAAGACTCTTTGTGGTTCGATTCAGAGAATGGAGTACTTAGAGACCCTCGATATCTCATCGTCAGTAAGCGGAAAAGGGACACTTGATTTGGAGTCTATGTCATCCCCTTCAAAATTTCTTCAACGTCTCTACTTGGAGGGTCATATGACAAAATTTCCCAACTGGATCACCGAACTTCAAAATTTAATTCGAATACGAATTAGTCGGTCAAGAATGCAAGATGATCCGCTGACATCTCTTCAAAATCTGCCCAATCTTTTGGAACTCGAGCTCAACATAGAATCATATTGTGGTGAGAAGCTGCACTTCGAGGAAGGAGCATTTCGGAAGCTTAAGGTGCTTTACCTCATTCATTTGTACGGATTGAATTTGATAGTAATAGAGGAAGGAGCATTGTGTAATCTTGAAAAGTTTTACATTGGTCCTTGCCCTCAAATGAAGGAGCTCCCCATTGGATTCCAACATTTAAGGAACCTTAAACTCGTTCGATTTGTTGAAATGCCAACACACTTCTTGATGTTCCAGAATTTTCGGAGTCTTGAACCCGTTCCAAATGTTGGATTCACAGATATATCTCTGTTTGGAAGGAAGTTCTCCTTGAGTTTAGAGTACGTTTTAAGACTTCAAACGTACATTCAAGGTTAGTTTTAAGCATGTAGATTGTATATAAGCATTGTTTTATATGATATACTCATTTTGACGAGTGTTGCAAAATGCAAAGAAAGAAATAAATGAACAATAAAAAAGGTTTGTATTAATAGTTCAATACTATTTCCTTGACAGAGCATAAAGAAGTGAACTGGAAGTCCTTGCCCTTTGAAGAAGTATTGAGTAAGTTTCCATTGCTATTTACATTTGGAATGCAACTTTTGGGTCTCTCTGGCAGGTCCTCATTACCGGTATAGTTAACTTCTGACCGTTAGATTTTATCAAAATCACGTCATATTGAAAAACTATATAGAATAGATAATTTCTGATACATGTCTGACGGTTTAAAAGAAAACCATCACGGTAATACATTTTTTCAGTTCCTACCAGAGAAATCTCATTTTATTGGGTTTTTAATATTTTTTATACTTATGGTATATGTCTTAATCTTTTCGCCCTTTTCTCACTCATCTCTCATTTTGATGGTATGTTGTATGCATAGAGAAACTCCTGCCATTTCGGATATCACACCTTCAACGATCCATGACAGTATGACTTTGAGAAAGTCTCTTGTTGTGTTTATTAATGAGTCTTCGATCAGCTGCATATACTATCGACTATGTTGTATCTAAATATACGGCTGAGTTTAGTTGGTTTATTATTATTATTTTTTAACAAGTACTTGTGCTCTTGAGTTAAAGCAAATCTATGGTGGGAGTAAGAGAGCACCTCCAATGCAAGGGCAACGCTAAATTCGCGTGTAATGCCAAATTTTGACATTTAAGTAGCTAGGGAAATTGCTTTCTGATGCAGTGCAATTTTTGGTAATAGATTTGGCATATACTGTATTTAGTGGTTGATGTCTTGACATTTTCATTTATTAATTATATAATTGCGTCAATTTTAAATGGGATTCTACCCAAAAAACATGGGCAATATGCTAGAATGACTATCCAACAAAGTAAAATTAACAAAATGACATTCTTCATTTTTTATGAAGAACAACCACCTAATCATTCTTTGTAAAAAGTGGTTATTTTACAAATAAAAATTTTTAAAAAGTTATTTTACTAATAAAACTTTTCTATTGAGTTATTTTTACAAAGCTCTCCTAAAACAGTTCATGTGCTTTTGTCAAAATAACACTTTCTCTCATCTTATTATGTAAATACTAAAAATACCCCTATTTTTATAAAAGACAAACCCAAAACACCCGTTGAAGCATTAAGGTCTCGTTCATTTCACCGATTCGAGTTTTGTTATAGTAAAAAGCTCTCAGAAACAATCACATCTAACTTTTTTGTTACAGTAAAAAGCTTTCACATAAAGTCACATCTCAATTCGAATTAAAAACTCGAATCAGCGAACTAAATGGGTCATAAATATTTTAATTAAAATACTAAGATTATCCTTTCCAATCTTTATTAAATATATTTAAAATATCACTAGACTAAAATGTTAAATTAAATCAATTTTAAAAAATGAAAAACTATCAAAATAATTAAAGTATTTTCTCGACTGGAATATTTATTTGAGCATTTTTTTTTAAATTTTTTGTTTAACTTTATAGTTAACTTATGTCTAAAATAATATTTAATATAAATTGGAAATAGTAATCATGGTATTTTCAAAAATTTAACTGTTTGGGGGGGGGGGGGGGGGGGTTGTGGGCGTGGGGTGTTTTGGGCCTACTTTTATTAATGCATGGGATGTTTTGGACATTTGCATAGCAAGAGGGGCTAAAATAGTATTTTGACAAAATATAGAGGATATTTTTAGTGTTTTTCCATTTTAAATTATTTTAAAATGAAAAGTTTACTTTCACAAGTTTTAAAATTTCATAATCATAACTAAAGGCAAATAAATTATTTAAAATAGCCTTTTGCATTAGATCATAAAAAAATAACATATCAAATATGCTAGTTTCACTTTTGTCGAATATAGTATTAGTATTGACGTTGATATTTGTATTGAAGATTGACTAAAAAGGTATATTATTGATTTTTTTATGAGAATTTTAAATCAAGGAAAACATAATAAGCTTAATAAATAATTTTCACACTAAAAACAATTGACAAACTAAATACAATTGACAAACTAAATACAGAAATGACAAGTTTACCAACGATTTTGAAATTTTCATGTAATTCTCAGTCAATGTGTGTCTAATCGTGTAAAGGGTACAAACAAACCCGAGTCTTATATTGTTTAAACACAACAAATAAACACCAACTTATAAGGATTTTGAGCCATTATACTTAACAGGTTTTTAAGATGGAAGCGCAAGCTCTTAGAAAGTTCAATTTTAACATGATATCAAAGCTCAACCAGCTCAAACGAGCTGCTCGATCCATCCAATACAAGATTGGTGACCCTATAGAGTGCCTTCATTTAAACACAAAATAAATATAAAGACATTGGGTCATTCCACTTAATAAATTGACCTTTTAAGAAGGAAACCTAAGTTCTTAGACAATCCAATTTCAACAAATCGAAGTATTTTAAGTTCAAAGAGTTCTGATATCCAGTATGACCTAATGAATAATCAGCAAAATAAAAATAACTAAAACGAGAGCTTGAAGCAAGTGAATGCTTAATGTGCTCTTGTGGAAGTTCTCTTGAAACAACTGGATTCCATTCACATCAAAGTTTAATATGTTAGCAAATTATTTTAGGGTGAAAATCTTCACCAAATACTGGATCGTTCATATTGTATCACCAAGAATTTGTGATCTAACTGGAACATACTTGAATCAGTCATGATGGAAGCAAATCACAAGTCTTGTGGTTAGTCTTCCAAATCTACACGTAGTCCTTAGAGTTTGTCTTGAATTCTCTCTATTCTCTCTGATGATGGGATGTTAGAATAGAACGAAACGTACGTGTGATTTGGGGACTATAACTGTATATATGTTAACTGCCTATTAACTTTTATTATTTCTAATTTGGCCCATCATAAAAGTGGAAGTAATGATTTAATCTCTACACATAAAAGATCCATACTTAATTAGATGCATTAAAGTCGTAAATACCTAAAACCTTATTAGATCACTTTAAATGGGCTTAACCTAATATGATAGTCTTTAATACACAAGGAAATAGGCCAAGACTTGAGATGAATTAAAATTAATAGGCCAATAGTTTACATAAGTTAATAAATAGGCCAAATTACTGTTTTTGTCTATAATTTGTCTAATTATGAGCTATAACTTGACAAATTATTGTTCATAGTTCATGATTTTTGTCCATAACTTGTCTGGTTATGAACCATAACTTGACAAGTTTATCCATAACTTATCTGGTTATGAACCATAACTTGACAAGTTATAACCTATTAATTTCTATAACTAAAAATTGGCTTATATACTTTCTTAAGCTTTTAATATTAGCTTATTTTCTATTATTTCTGATAATTAAACATATAAGCCCACATGGTCAATTAAAACCCAACATAATACTGTTTTTCTTCTGTCAAAACCTTTTTAGGCTTTTCACATGCAACTTTTGCAACAGAACTTCCCAAGGTAAAACCAGTTCTACTTCGTTTTGTGCAAATGACTATTTGTTTTTTGCTTTTAATTAAACATGCAAACCAGCTACAACTCTATGAGATCCAACGAATCCCTTCTCAAAATCTAACAACTTATATGTGTTCCAAATGACGAACAGATTAACAAAACATTCAATTAACATTCAATTAAAAAAAAAATACGTGTTATTAAACATTCAATTATCAAAACAAAGCAGATCATATACATGTTCCAAATGACGAACTGATTAACAAAACATTCAATTAAAAAAATACGTGTTATTAAACATTCAATTATCAAAACAAAGCAGATCATATACGTGTTCCAAATGACGAACAGATCTGTAACGAAATAAAAAGGGCATCCATGACAAAATATTTGCGCAAAAGTGTGGAAGAAACGAATGCAATGAGAGAAGACCAAAGAAATATAAGCAGACCTCAAGCAAAGCTCTGATTCTCAACGTTGCCGAAAAAGAACTATTGAGCTCCTAAGATTTCATCACTTGTGGGGTTGGGGGGCGGGACTTTGGCAAGATCACAATCTTTGTCTATAAAATTTACGTTTGTCTGAAAGGACACTTGATAAAGAATAATTTGCCAGCATTGCGCTACTTATTTATAAAGAAATTCTATCAAGCAAGAGAAAAATCTTTCCCTGATGATCAGGGAATTGATGCAATGGATGTCACCACATATACTAACAAAACTTAAGAGATTACTTGCAAGGAAAGAGGGTATGACTTTGTTGCTTTTATTTGTGTTTATTTGGTTACATTTTCTGTTCTTTTATACAATTTTTTGAATTAAGCTTGCATTATACGTTCTCGCTTTCTTTCTTTATTATTATTTTTGTTAATAATACAACGAAAATTTGAATTAAGCTGACGATACAAATACATTCAAAGTCCAATTCAGCAGAAAGATAACCATAGCAGTCATACATTTATTTAATCCGAATTATTATATTTGAAGAACGTACGCGCAAGGTCATTAAAAAAAAGGGAGGAAAAACTACGTGAATAACAATATAAAAATACCGTTAAATACATTAGTCAACTTCAAAATGTTTATACGTTTAAATTTGCCCAAAAAGTCGTACGTATAAACTTCAAAAAACTCATACATACCAAAAAAAAAAAAAAAAAAAAAACTTTAAGGTTGTACGTAATTGCTAAATGCATGGTTGTTATAGTTTTAATATCAAATGGCCAAAATAATTAAAAGAAGAAAAAGGGCCACACAAAGGGTTTTTTTTTTTTTTTTTTTTTTTTTTTTTTTCAAATTTTCAACTAGAAGTTGAAGAAAAAGATTAGCTAGTTAATCTTTATAAGAAAAAGTAATTCCTCAAACGTGTACCCTTCATTCTAAGACTTTAGCACCCAACTCTAGCTTCTATAAATACATAGCAAGCGTTGGCATTCCTCATATATATACATCAAATAACTAGCTTAGACTTAACTTAAGGTAGCCATGGAGGTTGAGAGAGTCCAAGTTATTGCTTCCTTATCTTTGAACTCCAATGTAATCCCCGCGGAGTTTGACATGCCTGAGAGCGAGAAGCCCGATGCCACCACATTTCGCGGCCCGATCCCTGAGATTCCTGTCATCGATTTCAGTGATCCCGACGAGGAAAACCTAATCCGCCGCATAGCGGAAGCCAGCAAAGAATGGGGTTTCTTTCAGGCCGTGAACCACAACATCCCTGCCGAGGTCATACGCAGGCTGCAGGAGGCGGGGACGGAGTTTTTCGGGTTCCCGCAGGAGGAGAAAGAGGTTTACGCCAAGCCGGGTGATGCCCAGTCCGCCGAAGGGTACGGTACCAAACACCAAAAGCTCGAGAATGGAAAGAAACCATGGAGTGATCATCTCTTCCACAGGATATGGCCTCCTTCTCGCATTAACTACCAATTTTGGCCTAAAATTCCTTCCTATTACAGGTTTTCATCATTCTTTATATACACACACACATATGATATATATCCATGCTAATTATTTGACATCTCAATTCATGAACAAATGCACATCGTGTAGGAAAATCAATACTTGAGAGAGAGAAATAGGTAGGGATTTATTTGTAAATTTTTTATATTATATTGACATAAATCTATTTCATTCCTCTTTATGTGTGTGTGTATATATATGTGTGTGTGTGTGTGTGTGTTAAGATACCATCTTTGATCATATTGTTCGTAGAGAGGTGAACGAGGAGTACGGGACGCATGTGAGAGGGTTCGCAGATAAGGTGTTCAGGAGTCTATCGCTAGGGTTAGGGTTGGAAGCGAACGCTATGAAAGAGGCATTCGGAGGGGAAGAGCTTGAGTACATACTGAAGATCAATTACTATCCGCCGTGTCCGCGGCCGGATCTAACATTCGGAGTTCTCGCACACACTGACATGTCGGCGCTCACAATTTTGGTTCCTAATGAGGTTCCCGGTCTTCAGGTTCTCAAAGATGATCACTGGATCGACGCCAAGTACGTCCCCAATGCCATTATCGTACACATGGGTGACCAGATTGAGGTACGTGCTTGCCATAATTTATTATATATTTTACAAATACTATGTTTGAAAAACTACCTGCTTATGATGAGTGTTTTTTTTTTAAAAAAAAAAAAACTAATTAACGTAAAAGGATTCGACCTCTACACCTAGTGGTGGAATTAAGGGGGGAATTACTGCTAAACTATGTCAGCAACTACTGCTTAACACCACAACCGATCATTGTGGTCTTTGTCAAACATTAATTATATGTCAAAAATACGTAGCGGCACCACTGTTATTTAACACTACAACTAATAGAGAATAGTCATTACTTGTGAATATCACGTTGTGCGACTTAATTTTCTATTAGTGGGTAGTATTGTTGAACACAAAAAAAGAAGGCACGATTAAAATAATATTGCATATTTGTGTATATGTGTATATATGAATCGTTTAATTGCGAGGGAAATGCATGCAGATTGCAAGCAATGGATACTACAAGAGCGTACTCCATAGAACCACAGTGAATAAGGAGAAGGCAAGGATGTCATGGCCTGTATTCTTAGAGCCACCACTGGAGTTCGTCGTCGGACCGATATCGCAGCTTCTGAACGAGCAAAACCCTCCAAAATACAAGTCTAAGATGTTCAAAGACTACGCTTACTGCAAGCTCAACAAGCTTCCCCAGTGATCCATCCATTTATATATATGTTCCTTTAATTTCCTCTATTAATGAATTAGTATATGAATAACAGAACATTTCCTCTGATTAGTTTGTTAAGTCGCTCAACCATGTGTAATAATTGTCGTGGTGTTCATAAGGTGTAAAGTTCAAATACTACTTCCATTAGGAAGAGTCTACACCTTAATTATCTCTTATAAAACTCATGATTAATAAATAATGATAATATAATTTTTTTGTTCTTGAGATAGACGTGCTATTATTCACTGAGTATAGGAAGGAACCAATTTATTAAGGTAGAATTATATTGGGTACTGTTGGTAGCTTCGCAGTACTCTTCAAAAGGAATCTCCGAATTAAATATGAAATATTAAAAGTGTCTAAAAATCTAATCCGATGCCATATTATATATCTTATTAAAAAAATTTAGTATCTATTAAAACTCTTGTTAATCTAATCCCATGCAATGCCTGTTAGAGTTTGTTGTAACACAATTCATGTTGGTGTGGAAATGCACAATTAATTAATACTGTGTGATTTCTTACCAAACTATTAGGGTTTTTAGTACATTTACCTCTTAAACTTGTCGTGCTTTAACAAATTATTCCTTAAATTTTTAATTTTAGCAGTTTACCCAGTTAACTTGTCTAACTGTTGCAATTGACCCCATTTCACTAACAGCTATTAAAAAACTAACAGAAGTGGACTGTAACAGTCACATGTGGAGTTATAGAGGGGCATAACCGGCATTCACTTCACATGTGATTGTCGTATGTCCATTTCTGTTAGTGTTTTAAACATTTGTTAGTAAAATAGGGTTAATTGCAATAGTAAGACAAGTTGTGAGGGTTAATATTGTCAAAATCAAAAGTTTAGAAGGTAATTTACTAAAGTTTAACAAGTTTAGAGAGTAAATGTGCTAAAAACCCAAACTATTATAATACTTATCAAGTGATTATTGTTGATTAATCATTGAATTAGGGTAATTAATTTTTGATAAGTTACATTGAAGACGTAGTCCTACACGATCTATTTGTATTAATTAAATGTATAAATTGTTTACGAAAATGTATCACAACAAATGATTAAATATATATTTTGGCAAGCGCTGCAGCCCCAAGATATTATATGATCATATACATTCATATATAATATATACCATATATAGACGTACCGAAAAGGGCACCCGTATGGCCTTTTTAGATGTGTGGAATGAGTGATAAAATGAAAGTTGTTGGGCACTTGTTTTGGAGGGAAATGGTCTAAAACGACGCCTTAAGCCGGATCGTTATAGTTGTAATTTCATTAACATTTCATAACGTAATAACGTAGACACATTTATAAATTTAAAATTCATTTGCGGAAACACAATACAACAAAAAAACTTATTTGCGACGATAGAATGTCGTCGCAAATAACTATATTATTGTTAGAAATATTCGTTGCAAATTAATCGTCACAAAACACTAGACGCAAATAATATATGTGCGACGACAGAGTTTCAGATGTCGTTGCTAATACATTAGCGGTGACTGTCATCGCGAATAAGTCGTCACGAATGTTTCGTCAAACATGTCGTTGATGATGATGTGTCCTAACTTATTTGCGACGATGAATGTCGTCACAAAAGTTTTGTAAACCTTTTGCAGCCATAGGCTTCAAAGTGTCGTCACTAGTGATGTGGACTATTTGCGACGACATTTTAGATTAGTTGTCGCAAATTTTTTTTTTTTTTACCGTACTTTCCTAATAATATTAATTATTAAATATATAAATTAGAAGAAAAGTTAACAATAAAATTGATATGTGTTAATAAAAGATTGATATAAAATAGTCAACACAATGATAAAATAAGTCTTAAAAAGTAAATTAATCAAGAAATACTAAAAAGTATTGATAATAAGAAAAAGAAAAACAGATATTTCAATCTCCTAAATTAGCAGCATCGTCGTCCTCATCCTCGTCTTCTCCGATTCGCTCAGGCGACGGAGGAACCAATGGTTAGGGATGGTTAACTAGCAAGAAGTTGATGTTAGGATTCATCTAGCGCATGACTTCCATCATGATCTGCTGGTTGTCAAACTTGTTGCATTGCTCGACGTAGAGGTTGTTCAGCTAGTTTTGGACATGCTGGGGCAAGTTAACTAAAGACGGCCAGTCCAATTACGAAGCAGATGATAGCGCTTGAACGATTCCTCCGTGGCAGTGTCAGTCCCACTCCCTTAGTGTGTCTTCTGCGCTTGCCTAAGACTTAGGACATAATCCCCTCTTATTTGACCGTCGTGGATAAACCTTCGCCAGCAGACTATGTCATCTGCATGGTTCTTTCCCCCTCCATCTGAGCCTACAATGGTAAATGAAATAAAAATGAATAAAAATAGTATAATATCTTACGTTAAATATGAAAAAAGAAATAAATTTAAAATTTACTTACAAATTTCTGTTCAGCGTCCGGATTGACAAAATTCTGCTCATGATGATGCATGTCACCCCAATTGTCAATTAATGATCTTAGCTCCTGGGTCTTGGGATTTGCCTAATCAAGTTGAACGTGTTAGAACAATTATTAAGCCAAAGTGACAAAAACTTAACAAGTATGCAAATTAGTATTACCTTATCGAAACGATGTTGGGAGTATGACTTTCTACCATGGAAGCTAAACAACTTTTGACTGCCATGATTTTGTTGATTTGTAACAGATTTTTTCTAGTAATGATCATAGATGAATTAGTAACATAATTAATAATTAAATAAACAAATTAATCAAAACTAAGCAGGGACATAAAACGATCACAGTAAGGTCCCTATTGCTCTTTACTCCTCAAGTTTTTAGGAGGATTTTGCCTAACAAAATCCTCCTTTTCTGCTCCTCCTCTCTTCTGAAAATGTCTGTGCAAGGTAGTCTTCCAGTCCTTGTAACATTTGCTGGCTTCACGGTCGACTACATCTCTAATGATGTTGTTGTCGTGGTCGTAGTCGAGGTTAAACTAATCCTGGGACATATTAAAAAATTAAAAAATAAATTTTATATATTGTATCCACAATTAAATTTTTAGAACAAATTTTGTTTCAAATAGATACCAGCATGCGATTTTGAATCCTCCTTTTGTGCTTCTCAGGCACGTCCTTCCAGGTGTTATAGTGTGGGTCATAGATATCTCTTGTGTGCAAGCCGACAACACTGTCAAAATATGGGGCGTTTTCGCCAATCGCCTTCATGTACCGGTCTCGTCAAACAAGATAAAAGCTTCCCATCTCTTTCTACCCTCTCCACTATATCTCAACCTAGAGCTATCCCTCCATCAGATCGATGTCGAGGTGTCAGCTCTAGAGCTGTAAGAAAATAAAAATAACGAAATTTGATTATATAGAGTTCGAGGAATAAAAAATATCGTTCCTGTGTTATAGCATATAATACCTGACTGAAAATGTGCCGAGAGTCTCGTTGAATCAGGTGGAGGCTGTGATCCTCCTGCATAGCTGGTGTATGTAACTATTGGGCCAAACATCGTGACTCTGTGTCATATAAAAGAATATTTATTAGTTACTTTATTTCTTACGCAATTTCTTAACAAATATATAAAAAAATCCATAAATATAAATTAGCTACTTTATTTCTATTTGTCGTCACTACAAATGTCTTCAACATCATCGATACTTTCAACATCGTCATCATCTTCAGACTCGATGAGCTCATCTTTGGTATAGTCAAATACAGTTTCATCATCACTGTCGTCAACAAAGTCATCTTCAATGGGCGACTATTCGTGCAAGTATGTGTCGGTGTCAGACGTGACAGTATTTACTTCGATATCAAGCCGTTCAAATGTTAAGTTGTCCAGTTCAGGTAGTTCAACTACTAACTCAACATTTCGTAATACTTTATGTGGTACTTTTTTACCTTTTGTTTTTTTACTCTTCCAACGATTATGTTACATACTGGACAAACCTGTAGATCGACATTCTCCTTCCAGAATAATGCACAATCATACTTACAGACATGTATTGTTTTGTAGCCCAAACCAAGTTTACCCAATTTTGTCTTCCTTGTAATAAGAATATGGAAGTTTAATTCCTTCAGGAAATGCATCTTTTAACAACTTCAAAACAGAGTTCATACACCTATTTGTCCATTTGTAAAGCACCTTTAAATGCATCTGTTTCACCAAAAAATTTAATGATGAATACTTAGTACACCCTGGATACAATGCCTATTCGAGCTCAGATAACAACTCTTTAAATTCATCATGATGCACATCACCTAACACCTCAGCTTGTACTTCGTCCAACATATCATGATCGGAGTTATTTCTTGAAACATCATGTATAACTGCAACCATCTCGTCAACTGATTCATTTATTGTATTGGTCACAACATCGTCTTCGCCATGGCAATGCCACGTCGTATATGACGTATTGAAACCATATTGGTGTATGTGTGCTCTAACTGTTTCTATTAGAAAACACTTATGATTTAAACACCTTCGACAATGACAACTTGTACAACCACTTTCATCAACATGGTCTTTGGCAATATTGATAAAAGCATATAACCCTTCCCAATACTGATCAGACAATCAATTTTTCAGATGTATCCAACTTCATGTTTTCTTGTGACTATATAGTCACATTCATAAAGAAACTTTTATAGTTCATGTTTCAACTTTATAAGTTTTATCAATTTTTATGAATAATTTATTCTATTATTATTGCACTCATAATATTTATAATTAATTTTTAATTTACTTTCTATTAATATAATTAAATCTTATTAATGAAATTCTTAAAATTAATAGGTTTTAATAAAATTTCGGCAGCATAACGACATATTTTTCTTATTATCTAAAACTTCAAACCTGAAAAAAATATCTTTTAAAAGATTTTAGCACACCATAATTGCAAGACGTGCCACCCAAAATAATCATCAAAACTTTTAATTTTAACCTAAATCAAATTATAAGCAGATTTTATAAAATAACACCCTAAGAGATTCACACACACTTATACCAAATTTCAACAATCTCAAAATTCATAATCTAAAATTCAATATCTATAATCCAAACTTCAAATTATATACTAATTCTAAACTCCATAAATCAAAATTTAAAATCTAAAATCCATAAAAATTCAAACAACAAAAAACTCAAACATTTTAAACTAAAAACTACAATAAATATGCAAAAACTTACAAAATTCAAACCCACTAAAATGAGGGTTGAAGATTAAGGGGGGCAAATGGCGGCAGCGG